AGGCCCAATTCCCACATTAAATAAGAATTATGTACCATATTAGTCCTCTTTTCGGGGAAAATTAGTAGCTATCCCTTCGGTGCCATGGATGTAACGAAGAGGCTTGTTTGTGATTTATGCTTTGGTCATGAATATAAAATAGCTCACTTAATCAAGTAAGAATGCAGCTTAATGTGAGGCATAAGATAAAGGGTATTTATTACTTAGAGGCAAGCACTTTGTGAACTTGATTAAGAAATATAGTATGTCCAATTAATAGGAAAATATGAGTTTGACTAAATAGGCCTAATTATTTAAGCTATCAAAATGAAATGGTCTAGCAAAGAATGTCAATTAGTTTACTCTTGATGTCCTATTCATCGATGTAGAATACTAAATGATGAGGGTTTTTTTCCTTAGGAAAACACTCTTCCACAAAAGTACTAAAAGCTTATAAATGGGTCCACAAAAATGTGAGGGGGGGGGGGGGGTACTCCTTGTAATAAATTAATGTTGGTTTCACTTTTTTTATTTCCCAGAAAACTCTCAATTTGAATGCCTTAAATATTTAATGTAAATGCCATTATCACTTCCTTGCAACTTAAATATATAGGAGAGTAGCTACACATCTTTACAAATTTTTTTTTAATCAGTTTTCAAAAATCAGTTTTTTTATATATCATGTATTTGTATAATTCATTGATAAATATACATTTTGTTTCATGACAACTAATTTTGTCTTTTCATAAAAAAGTAAGATCTGATAGGTATAACTTATTGAGATATTGCTCCGTTCAATTCCAGTTTTATTTTTGTCTGAAATTTCGTCTGCTGCAGACAAAAGTTTTTCAAATATTAAAGGTGCTACTGCTATATATATATATATATATATATATATATATATATATATATATATATATATATATATATAGGTTTTCATGTTTTAATCGTTTTTAGTTTTGCCAATGTCATGTGTAAACAGCTTGTAACAAAACTTAAAAAACGAGACCTTCCTTGACTTAGATTGTCAATGAAAGCCAGTGAAGAACTCGGGACGTTTTTGCCGGGAATATCAAAAGTGAGGTTTATGCGCAGCATAGATGCGCACTTGACCTTCTTTTTCAGTGTTCGGGATAATGCCAAATAAGAGCAATTTGTGCAATATCAATGTTTCATGCAAAGAAAATGGCTTAATTCATATAGTCAGATCTAGTAGGCCATATCTCAAAAGGGCCTGTAGGTCTACACTTCATAATTAAACTATCATAATAACAATAATTCTGCCTACCTTATCTCTCGACACGATGCCATTGAATTGCAGAGCTTTTGCAAACATATGATCAGGTGATTCGTTACGACTGTCTTCCGCTGTCATTTTGATGTGTTTATTTTGTAATGGAAACCGCCAGCACATTCATCCAAACGTCGCTGTCTGAAGCGTGGATGTTGTGTGTAGTAGGCACGTGTGCGATCACGTGCAAAAAGTTGCTGGCTGCAGTTCACTTAACGGCCACCGATATCACCAATAACAAGGGTTTCTGAATATTACACAAAGTCCATTTAATAAACAGTGAATCAGTTTTGTTGAAAGAATCTAATTTCTAAAAAAAGAATAATAATGCCAAACTACTTTAAAGGTTTTCTTTTCAAGCATTACGTTGTTTAATTCGATTTTTTTTCTTTATTAAATTACCTAACTTACCTATTATTTTGTCCCCCCAAAAAACATAAAAATTAATTGACTTCAGAAATTACAACATGCTTATCACAGAACAAGTGTATTCAAGTTAATGTATGAGTAATTTAATGTAGGCATATTTATTTCACTGACAGAAATGCTTTTAAATAAGGCTAACGGCTAATATTAAGTAACGTTACTTAATGTTAGCTGTTAGCCTTATTTAAAAGCGTCTAACGTTAGTTTTTATATCCACTGACAATTTCGCAGTAAGTAATTTATCAAAGCTAGTCTGCACCAAAGAAGGACAGTTTAGAAAAAATGCAGTAACGTTACGTTTTCATCGGGTGAACTTGGACACCAATTAAACATTGATGTGTATAGCAGCAAGCGCCTGTATGATGTCAGCCATTTTATGTGGTCACATTTTTAATGAAAATAAAATGTAATGGTTTTAAACCTAACTTTAGATCACAACAAACTCAATGCTGTATCAAAAGGCATTAAAACACAATGTTAAAACTCAATGAAACAATTTGAACTTAATAAAATAAAACTTAAACTTTGTTTGTTTTTTGTTTTTTTAAATGAGCGATCGTTTGCTTGATAAGACCCTTATTCATCGTCTGGAATCGTTTAAAGCCCTTTGAACAGTTTTCAGTTTGTTCTGAAAATGTCTTTTGGACCTTGAACTGTTTGGTTCCCAGTAAAGTGCATTATGGACAAAAATCCTGGAATGTTTTCATCAAAAACCTTAATTTCTTTTCGACTGAAGAAAGAAAGACATGGACATCTTGGATGACACGGGGGCGAGTAAATTATCAGCAAAAGTTTTTTGAAAAGTGAACTACTCCTTGATACTGGGATACCGGCAAGTAAGTTGTACTTGATATCACAGCAGTAAGATTTACTTAGAAAAAATGAGTGCAAATTGTTACAATGATTTTATCAAGTAAATCCTACAAGTTGAGTGAGAACAGCGAAAGTATCTTGATTCTCAAACAACAAAAATTATGGATCGGTCAGTTGCATTGGCTAAGATCTAAGGTAAAATTTGTTGTTTGTATCCCCAGCAGGGCTTTCTTCTCTGGCCTCGGTGGGGGAGAACGAGGGTGATGAGGGTGAGAAGAAGGGCCAGCGCTCCACACTCGCCCCCCTGCCCACGTCAGGCTGCACCAGCATGCCAAGATCGATTCTGGGGGGAGAAGAGAGGAGATGGGGGGCCACTGGGCAGGTTTAGAGAGAGAGATATTAAGAGAGAGAAGTGGTTTGTAGAGGGCAAGACAAGACAGAGTGAGAAAGACAGGCCTACACTTGTCCAGTTGTGATCTCTTTCTCACCTCACGTCCCCTCGCTGACCGTGGCAAAGGTCTGGAGAAAGTGAATCTCACAGTCCGTGGAAGACGTGGCAGAATCAAAGCCGGAAGAAGACCTTTAGTCTCTTTGAAGAAGAATCACTTCAAGCTAAAACCATATGACTCATTGCAGATAATCAAATTCAACAGAGATGTCAATTATAAAAATACAATAGCAACATATGACTTTTCTTTGTCTGCTTTTTTTCTAAAAAAAAAAATAAAAATAAAAAATAACAATGTTTGTGCCGTAAAACATTAGTAGAAACCAAAGCCACTCAAAAGACAGGTCAAAATCAGACATAAAACAATAGAGATATTAATAAATAATGCACTGTGATGGCAATGTGTCAAAAGCATCTTCAGGAGGCTGAAAGCCGGGGGTGAAGCTGAGATAGGAGTGTGTGGATTTGAGTGTGTCGAGACGCCACAATGACCTCCGCGCCAAATGGAACTTAAAGGTCATTTCCTAAGAGAACGGCTCTCAGTCTCAACTTGAGGACGAGACTTTTTCCCTCAGGAAAAATGAGTGCAGGAATATAGGAGGACACATCATTTTAGACACAGAAGATGTGTGATGTACAGCATAGCCTGGTTAACTCCTAAGCATAATTTCTTCAAAAATCTGTTCATTTTGTACATTTTTGTTCCCCCCAAATTAATGAATAAAGATAAACTTTTTATTTATTTCTGTTCAAATTTTAGTTTATTTTGTACAATTTCTATTCACCCAAAATAATTATCAAAGAGCTTCTATTTATTTTATTTTACTTTATATATGTCTTCAGAAAGAATTTCATTGTGTTGTACAATTTCGGTCCCCCAAAAATAATTATTTAAGTATTTACCCAAACTTCTGTTTATTTTCTACCGTTTTGGTATCTAAAATTAATCATTAAAGATGAACTCTTTTATTTATTTATTTATTATTATTTTTACAGGGATGGATATCAGTTTAATTTAAAAAAAAGAAGAATAACAAAAAATCTCTTCAACATGACCCTTTTATAGAATGAATAAATATCAGCCATAGGATGTGTAAAAAATAGTAAAAAAATAAATAAAAATAGATAGTACATTACCAGTGAATAATTTAAAAACAGCCTGAAGCATTATAAGGCTTGAGCCAATAAAGCAATAAGCAGAGGCGCAGTGGGTCATTTCTCATAAATTATTAGACGGTGAACCAACACATGTGGCAGAGATGCAATGACCCCAGCTGTTCAACTATTTAAAGAGCTTTTACTCACTGCAGAAGGCATTGAAGATAAATTATACAATGAAATTAGATCATAGGCTATTTAACTTATGCATTTATGTTTACAATATAGGTCACAAAAATACATTGAAAGATGCAATATGTTAAATAGCCTATCTGTTCCACGTTTTCATTTGAGCTGATTTTAGAATTTATTATTAATGCTGTATTGGTTTTGGTCTAATTTTATACCTATGATCAACATTTATGATGTGTTAGCTATACGCTAATTTCCATAATCTTTGCCAATGAATTATAATAATTGCTGAGTAAGCGCCAAATTTAAGTCAATAGAGCTGATATTCCAACTCATTACCTGTATTGTAGTAAGAGCAAAGCTCGCCCTGCCAGCCACTATCAGCATAAACGTATGAGACACATTGACAGCTTGTCTCAAATGATCTTGTCCTGTGGCGGTCTATCTGTTACAAACGTAACAATGTCAAATTACATCACACGTTCTCCTAGCTGATTTATTAGAATAAGCAAAGGAAGACGACAGTGTTTCTTTTGGGTCAGCTGATTTTGAATTAGGCCTACAATTTTATTTAATAAAATGTGAAGGTCGGCTAAAATGAGTTTCCTGCTAAAAAATGTATTAAATCGCATCTATCGAAGCAGGAAAAAAGGCTCCGTGGTAAGCATAGACTGTAAAAAATGGTTGTAAGCCAGTTCATTTTCTTGCCCTTAAACTACAAATCCCATGATGCACTCGCGACGCTTCCTGTTTTTGTCATGTGACCCGGTGTACATGATAATGAACATCGCATGACTAGCTACGCTGGTTTATATTGTGCCAAATAACGTTAACTGATTTGAGTGTTAATAAAAATTATTTACGTTGTTGACAGACCATATATTGATAGACGAAGACTAAATTTGTCATATTATAGCACATCTGGAGGCTGTATCATGGCGGAAGTGGAGGAGCAGGTAGGTTTCTCTAGGAAGAATATCTTGTGAAATGACAGAAGCCTGTGAATATTAACTTACATTGTTTCTGTATGTTTAATTTTTTAAGGGATGTGGGCTATTCGAGGTAACGTTGCACTGTGTGTGCTGTGTACAGGATATTTTAATGCAAATATTTTTAAGACGTGTTACTTAACGTAAGCTGTCAGGCTAACGCGATAGTTTGACACTTGACTTGACAATATCACTACCCACTACTGCTAATGTTAATATCCCTGTTGAAAAATAATATTTAAAACTGTTAGCTAAACTCGTGTCTTGGTTTTAGTTGCTCTCCTAGACTGGACACTTTTGGACCCTTGTCCACTGGGCAGTCTTAAATCAGCTGAGGCTTTTTTTTTTTCTTCAGCAAGTTTACTAACACAATGAGGGATACTTTAAATATAGGACTTTAAGATAATTACTGTTTTGTATGTTTTGGTGCAGCATTTCCCTTTAATACTAAATATTTTAACAAGAGTGGACAAATCAGGTGCCTTGTTAATAATATTTTCAGCTGCAAATCTCATATTAACACATCTTTCTGAAACATCTGTTTTTTTTTTTGTTTTTGTTTTTTGTTTTTTCCAGGGAAGAAAACTAAGTGAAGAATCAACAGATGAATCAGAGGTAAAATCATGGACTGCACAATTTATCTGAATAATCGATCTAGTTTTGAAATGGATTAGATAACAACGTATGAAACCAAATGGTATTTCTTTTAAAGAATAATTGCAAAAAAATAAAATAAAACTATAATAATTTAAATTCTGATTTAAACTACTGTACATCTGTGGTTACTCTCATTTGGTTACAATTAAAAATGTAAAAAAAAAGTAAAGCTAGTGAAAACCTAGCACATGCCACTGGGTTTTATTTATTTTTATTGTGTGCACATACTGTTTTTTTTATTTTTTTGAAGTTTGCACAAAATGGAAGATTTTCTTCCCTATATAACGTACATCTGAGTGAAATGGCTTCTTGAACAAGAAAAAAAAATGTAGGCTAGTACTTTTGTCCATCAGGAATTGATTGGAACGTTTCTGCTTTTTGTTATTGCTGAAGACTCATGTCATATGAGTGACAGGTTGTCCCGCCCTCATGCCAGTAAATATGTCATAGAGAAGAGATGTCATTACAAGAGGAAGGGGAAGTTATTTTGATTAATGATTTCAAAGATCACCCCAAAAAAATAAGAATAGCCAACTTAGCCTTTAAGTGTCTCTCAACTCAAATGCTTTTTTGGGAGTATGCAGTCATGTAATTGTTATTTAATATGCTTAAAGTGGAATCCTATATATAAAATAACAACTTGTAGCCTGTAACCTGTTTACAATGAGAGCTACTGTAAAAGGTCATATTACATTTTGCCCATTTTCTTGAGTCCAGCTTTAAGAAAATACTTTTGAAAAAGGATAGAGTTTGCCTTTAAGTGAGACAGTGAATGAAATGTCAAGTAGACATTCTAGCCCTCAATTCAAAATGAAAACAGGAAGAGAGAAACAACAGCCTTGCCCTCTTCGTAAATTAAATCTCAAGTCCGTGGAGCAATCTCCTGTCCACAAACTGTCTTCTGCATGAACCTCGGAGAGCATGGTTGTATTTTTCTTAGAATAACTGTAAAGCACAGTTTGTTTGGTTCATAATTGTAGAGCTCGATCTCTATCTCCTGATCTATCTCTTCTCAACACTTCCTGATGTCACCATGGACGTTTTGAAGGCTTTGTGTAAATGTGATCTCAAAGATGGACCGCCTCGTGAAAGAAGGACGCACCCACCGCTTCCAAATGTAATGTCATGCAGCAAAATGAGGAAAGATGCTTGTGCGGTTTGACATTAATCTGTGGTTTTGAGGCCCGATTCTTCAGTATAGCGTTCCAACAAAGTTTGTAACTAAAGACAGAGACAGAATGAGGGATGAGCAAAAGAGGAGAGTGTGGATGGTCACACCACTCCAGAAAAGGGGCAATTAAAGACAACCTTCCCTTCATCCCCTGCTCCCAAGGGCACCAATTAGGAGCGGCAGGGAATGAGGCACAACACTCATCCACCACATCGGCGTGGCGATGGCAAACACTAACAAGAGGAAGAAATTATGGGATACGAAACAGGAGAGATATTATCCACCCCTCCCCATCGTAGAAAGTTTGTCAGGATATTTTCCTCCTCTCTCCGTCTCTCTGTCCCTGTCTGTAATGGCTTTGTGGACCATGACAAATGCTCAGGCATTAGAAATTTCACATCTGGACACAACAGGAAATGGACAATGGAGGTGTTTGTGATGAGGAGGACAAAATGTTTGATAAAGTGAAACTACCCAATCTGTCAATCTGCCTGTGATCGAATTCATAGTTGTCCAACAATAAAAATAATATTTATTCTGTAAAAACTGTATGTGTAAATATATGCGTGTATATTTCGACTGTTCAAAAGTTTGGTGTCAGTAAGATTAATGTAATTATTTTATATTTAATTATATATATATATATATATATATATATATATATATATATATATATATATATATATATATATATTAATTATAATGTAATGCATATTATAATGAATAACTATTTCTATTTGACTATCATTTCAAATAATTTTTTAATTTAAATTAAATTAAATTATTTTTCAGCATCATTACTCCAGTCTTCATTGTCACATGATCCTTCAGAAATCATTCTAATATGCTGATTTGGCACTGACTGAAACATTTCTTATTATTTTCAATGTTGAAAACATTTTTTTTTTTTTTTTTTTTTTGGTGGAAAACGTGATGCATTCAAAGTTCAAAAGAATGGCATTAAAAATAATAATTATTATTTATTATTATTTTTATTTATAAATTTATATATATATATATATATATATATATATATATTATTATATTTTTTGTGGAAAACGTGGTACATTCAAAGTTCAAAAGAAAGGCATTTATATATATATATATATATATATATGAATCCTTGCTGAATAAAACTTATTTGAATTATGTAATAATTCAAACAAAAATAAGATAACTAACTAAACCAAAGAAGCTTATGTTTAGCTAAATGTTTCATATTTTGTCGCGCATTAAAAAGTATTTTTGCAAAGTATTTTAATCAAAAATTAATAAATACATTAATACACATATTATTGGTTAGGCTTGAAATGTACTTGTCATGAAACTGCACATGGAACAGGCAGGGACAGAGGTGATCCAAATGCTGGCTTTATTGAGAGGAATATCCAGGAACAGGTACGAGAGAACAGGCAGAAGTCAAAACTAGGTTAGCAGTCCAGATCAGCAAACATACCATGCAGGGATAAGGCAAACGGGAAAACCAGATACAGGCAGGCAGTCCAGGAACTGTGAAACTGACACTAAGAAACTAGGAACTAGGAAAACGCCCTGCATGCAGTATGACACTTACAAAACTCAGCAAAGGACAAAAGGCCACTCAGGCTTAAGACAGGTGCAGTCAACAAGATAATCAAACACAAGTGCACAAAATCAACCATAACCAGTCCAGGGGAAAAAACATAATGGAAACAATAAACTAGGAAGGAGTGCCCCCCAGAGGCACAAGCAGGCACTCCAGCCGCAGATCGTCACAGTACTCAATTTTAAATAGTTGGTGAGAAGCTAATAAATTAATTAAATCATCAGAATGCACAAATAAAATAACTAAATATTTTTAAAATAATATTAATAAAAATAATAAAATGTTCTAAAAACATATTTTACCTCTGCCATGTTACCATTACAGTTTTTTAGAAAATACAAGATTTTTATTTAAATATTTAGTTTGAATTTTCTTTTCAAAACGTAACATAATACAAAAAGACAGCAATTTGCTACATTACGACAGTAATACCACTGAAATATATTCTGAATCTAAAAACTGAAACACTATCAAAACAATGCGATGTAGCTGAACTACAGTTTCTTTCAATTTCATTACTATATACAAAAGAGGACAACCTGGGAATAATTTTCTACTGTAATGTAAACATGGGCCATGTAACATACTGTATTCTGCAGTGAATTAGAAACAATATAGAACTGTCTTGTTTTGTAAAGAAACATTACGAATATTAGTGACAAACTAAAGAATGCTTTCAGCTCCTTGTTGAATCAATGCCACATAGAATTAAGGCAGTTCTGAAGGCAAAAGGGGTCAAACACAGTATTAGTATGGTGTTCTTAATAATCATTTAGGTGAGTATTTTAGGTCAAAAGGGTTCGGCTGATAAAAAAATTTACTACTACTAAAAAAAATTGTACTATGAATCATGGTCCCATTAACATTCGTGCTTAATTATTACTGGATATCTGGAAAGACTAATTGCACCATAATACATATAAGATAATAAAATGCTAAATGGATAATATTTTTGAACACATGTATGAATGTTTGAATCAATTGTATATTCTGTGGAAGATTCCAAACTAATGAAGGAAGGTGTATTTGTGTTTGTTCAGGAGGAGGACACGGAGGAGGAGCCTAAACTGAAGTACGAGAGGCTGACCAATGGCGTGACAGAGATCTTGCAGAAGGATGCGGCCAGCTGCATGACGGTGCATGACAAGGTCCTCAGAACTCAGCTTTAAAGATTTTTTAGGAAGACATGATGTCGTTTTAATGTATTTCAGATAGCACAGATAAAGAATCTGAAATAAATTGAACTGATTTTAATTATAAACTTAATTGCAACTTGAATTGCGTGTTTAAAATGTATTTGTAGATTAATTGTTTTTTTTTATTATAAAATTCTAAAACCATATACTTTTTAAATTCTTAAAAGCAGAGAAATCTGGGAGCTTTTAATTATTATTAATTTAAAACAATTAGTTGAATCTTGTATAGCTTATAAAAAAAGTAGAAAATTTAAGCAATTTAAAAAGAAATTAAAAAAAAATATATTGTCATAACTTATTGGTCTTCTAATTTAAAAAAATATATATATTTATTTGTTTGTTTATTTATTTTTTATTACCGGCCTCTTGTATAATACTGAATAAAGCATTTTTGACTGTGACGTTCCATAATTTAATCACCAAGAGTTGCTTGCGCACACATGCTCACGGGTCACCACCCTTTCGCTAATTTTCCTGTTTATTTCCTCTGCTTTTAGATTTCTCTTTATTTTTTTTTGCCTGTCTTCTTTCAGTTTTTTCCCTGGGTTTGATATTTTTGTTGGTGGAGCATTCTACGTGGGTTTGGTTAATCGTCATGGCAGCCGGCTCACTCATGCACAGACGCTGTGGAGGAATAGTCATACCTAGTTATGTCTCCTCACCTGATGTTTTATTAACCGCTATTGATTTTAAATCCCCCCCTCCCTTCTTTTCCTGCTTTTCCCTTGGGACTTCCTCCTCCTTTTCCTCCTCTTCCATCTCTCCCCCCCAAAAAAGGCAAGCTTGCAAGAAGAGGAGACGTTGAAAAGCTGAATTTCAAATGAGAGTCCCCCCTTTTCTTTCACATCTCTATCGTTCTCTTCTTCCGTCTCTTCCCTTGTAGTCTTTTATGCATGCGCTCCAATGTGCATTCCGGCACCTAGACACACAAGAGCACCACCTGCCTAATGTTGCCTCATATTTTAAGTGCCAGGATTCCGAATTTCATTTCAGCAATTCCATTTTGATAAATCCCTTTAAGAGCTACTGAGGCTGGTGAGGCCACCCCTTTTATTTATTTATTTTTGTCTGATTTTATTTGGGGAGATTGCGGGGGGTTTTGTTGGACATGCTCGGCTGTGCCTGTAAATATAAGCATTTCATTATAGACTGCAGTGAAGCATGGGCCGGCTCGGTGTGCTGCGACAGGGAAAGGTCTGTGCATGTGTAAGCAGGTGTGTGTGAATGTGTTTGGACACAGGGTAACCTCAGTTTCAGAGATGGACTCGTTCTGTGTGTGTTTTATAGTGTGGCTGGATGCTTTTGTAAAGTTCGGTCCACTTTTTAGCTGGCAGAGCAATAGACCTAAATCTGCATGGATGTCAAACTAATTTTAGATTGCTGGTCGGACTGGACTGAACATCACCTTATGTGGCCTGATTTCATTTTATTCGTTTAACCTTAGTGACACTATGCAGAGCACATGCACAATACATTCTCTTCTGCTGCTCTAATAACCAGTATTTCTGGAACAAAAGGGGAACATTGAATTGACCAATTTCAGTCACAAGGGGCATTTAGATTATTTAGAACCTACTTCTGCTAATTTCATTTCGCTCCTGTAGTCCGTCTGAGATAGCAGCCTATCTTTCAGTTTTCCACCGGTCTGAAAACAGCCGGCCAATCAGCGAACAGAGGGCGGGCTGAGAGCCGTGACGTAGTTGCTAAGCGCCGAGTTTTACATTGCAGGTTAGAGAAATCGAAAACCGAAACGACCGCAGAAATGGGAAACGAGACTCGGGATGCAATTCGCTCTGTTATGGAGAACATTCCAGAACATTCCAAAGTCGTTTACAGCCATGTTCACTCCGGTATTTTGCTCACATCATCAAGTGTTTACAGCCAGGACCGGCGCGTGCACTTCTGCCGCTCTAGGCGAAGAACAATTTTTGCCGCCCCTCTATTTGCAACGTATACTAGCAACAACAAACAAAGACCAACATGACATATAACGCGAAAAAACTAGTCTAAAGTCAGTGGCGCTTTGCACGTTGTTAATAATGCTATTTTAAGGACGCATGCTTGGCCATTATGTAGCTTGTGCACAACGCGCATACACTTTGATTCTCTCATCAACACAGATACAGCCATTTTTATTTTTGCAAATCATACATTGTAACAATGAAACATATTAACACTTCAAGCTTACACATTTAGGCCGTGTGTCCACCAAAGCGTTTTTCCACGCGCCTGGCGTATGTTTTCAATTGTTTTCAATGGGAGCGCCACTTTTTTTAAACGCCATGCGTGTACTGACCCGCTGAGCGTTTTTTTGTTTTTTTTCATGCTGAAGCGCCGAGCGTCCAGCGTTTTTTACTGGTCGCTGGCAGTTGAAAAACGTTCAACTTTGGATATAACGCAGCGCTCATTACTGTCACTTTTTACCCTGCCGTCCAATCACAGTGGAGGAGGGGCGGGACTAATACCACACCGACCAACTGTCACAACATTCAACTGCTGCGGATATTCTGCATCATAGCAACGAAACGTCTCAACGGAAAAAACGCTGCGCTGACAAAATGCTCTCAAGCGCCCCAAGCACGGCGTCTTCAGCAGAGCGTCTAGCTGAAAACGCTTTGGTGGACACACGGCCTTAGGCTACCCAAATTTTTCAGGCTAATTGTAGTAATGACGGATCAGACCTGTTTGGCCTATTTGGCCCATACAACGTCACTTCTCTCTCTTTTACGGCCATGACAAGAACGTTGGTCTCCTTGGCTGTGAACGCTCCTGACGTGCTCTTATCATATTATTATTATCATAATAATAACAACAATCCACCATATTTCGTTGCGACACCATGCTGCATTAGTCCCAGATAGGGGATTCATGAACGATCTGTTCATTGCGTATGTCACGTAAGACTCGGAAGGTAAAGAGATTTTTTATGTTCCCTGTAAATAATTTTTTACTGCATTATAATTTCTTAATTCAGAATATGATCAACATTGCGTAGGTGGATGTGATCGGGGAATTTGGCTGTTAAAATTATAACATTTAAAGCCACTTAAATAAACAAAATGACTCGAATGACTCAGAGAGTCAGTAAAATGAACTTCCTATTACCCAGTCATGACTCGTGAGAGCTGAGCAGGGCGTGCCGACGTTGCGGGGCGGCCGCAGCTCAGTAAATCATATAAATAACCTAGTTTGTGAATTGTTCATTCCCGTTTGGCACACATTTTGCAGCCCTTACATAAGCACCGCTCCCTGTATACAGTGGAAGTTCGATCATAGATTTGAGTTTGATGCATGATGTCTGGCTGTGTCGGCGCATAACATACGTCACAAATAAACTTATCTGATTGGCTTACGGGTAACCAATGATTTTAAACTTCAGACAAGTGCCCCCTTGCGAGAGAGAAAACACTTCTTTATTATGCCATTCCAGACTCTGTCTACGAAACAAAGTGAAATAGCAGAGTCTGGTATTACCAGGCTACATTTAGATAGGAATTATATGAAATTAGTAATTAGGACATAACACAATCACATATTCAAACAATAACAAGAAAACACAAACTCACTGGTCTTGGTTGGAAACATTTAACTATAATAAGGTAAAGGAAAGGGAATTAGCAAAAAGTTGGCCTAAAAAAACAAACAAACACTCCTTTTAATTGCATCCCCAGGCCTGATTTTAGTCAAAATTAGAGGAATCAATATTAAAGCGTGACATCCAATAATAAGTGAAGATTTTGAAACACATACATTTAAATATTTAATATTAATATTGATTCTAGTATTTTTTTTACTTCTACTTGTCCTAGTGAAATTTAGCTGTCGGACAGTTGTTTCATCCACTAATCCATATTCAGCTGAAAAAGTATTCAAGTCAGCGGGAACTAAAAATTGATCCTATTTAATTTGTTACCGCACAATAAACAATTCATCCATTTGTCTTTGTAATCTTTAATCAAAATCTGAAAATGTACTTCCCCTTTGGGATGCCCTTTCCGTCACTGATGATGTCAGTTTGACGGCTTGGGTTGAACACTGTTGGTCTGCTGCTGCGAGCGCTGATAAACAAGCCACACCCTCTATTCTTCCTCATTCAATTTTCTGTTTCACTCAGAAAATACATCACAATATTGAAGTAAAGTCAGTCACAACTACTGGTTCACGCAAACTTTAAACTGCCGAATGCCCTGTCAGCATGCATTATAAAAAATAATGTTCTGCTGCTTGAATATGTGAGGAAACACTGGGTGTTTGTTTGATACTTCTGTACTAAAGAGTGACTCTGCATGAAACTGGATCTTATTACTTAATAGACGTTCCTGGTCTCACTTCAAATGATTCATTAATGTGTTATTTACAAAAAAATTAAGTGTTTATTTGTAATATTTAGTGAAGGCCTAATACTCTAACTTGATCTGACTCTTAAAGGGATACTCCACTTTTTTTGGAAATAGGCTCATTTTATCACTCCCCCAGAGTTAAACAGTTGGGTTTTACCGTTTTCGAATCCATTCAGCTGATTTTTTTTTTTTTTTTTATATTTAGAAGAATATCAGTAACCAGACAGTTTCTGCTCTCATTGACTTTCATAGTATATTTTTTTCTTACTATGGTAGTCAATGAGACCAGAAACTGTCTGGTTACAGATATTCTTCTAAATATCAGAAAATCAGCTGAATGGATTTGAAAACGGTAAAACTCAACTGTTTAACTCTGGGGGAGTGATAAAATGAGCCTATTTCCAAAAAAAAAAGTCGAGTATCCCTTTAAAATGACTTTTCTTTTCTGCTGACATCATATAGAGCTCTTTATAAGCCCCGCCCCTCAAACGACCTGTCACTCTGCACTATCATATTAATGGCTGATTGCTCAAATTAAAGTTTGTATATCTAGCTTCAGTTAGAATTGCAATTGTCTTCAGTGAATTAATGGAAATGCATGCGAAATTTAGAATTGGAGTAAGTAGCTTTCAACAAACTTGGTGTGTGAGATTCATAATTATACCATAATTTTATAATTTTCTCCCAGACTGTCCAAACTGTAAATGCTGAATTGGTTTGTGGTGATACTGGCAATTCACAAGAGAAAATAGGAAAAGTTTTCATGAAATGTAATTGCATTAGTCTGACAGGCAGAGTGTTGGTGTAGAGGGCAGAGATGTGTGACCTGTGGTGCATATATTATGTTGAAGCGTTTTGATATGTCGAGGGAAAAGACGCTATTTCACACTGGGCCGCTCTGATAAATAGGCTTTCCTGTCCTCCAGCAATTTCACACTTTTTGCCCCCGAAGGGTCCAGCTGAAACCACACACACTCTCACATGCACGCACAAACACTGAGGCCTCGCAGCCATGCCTGGTAAAGCTCATTTTTAATACCTCCTCCACAGCTTTTAACTCTGTATAAGTGCAGGATGTCCCATGGTTTTCACTTGTGTGTCTGGCATGTTTGTGTCCTCTGTTGCCTTCAGTTCCTGGCTCTTGGGACACACTTTGGGAAGGTTTACCTTCTGGATATCCAAGGAAATGTTACACAGAAGTTTGAAATTGTAAGTCTGAAATTATCTTGTGTGATTGATTGTTATAGATGCCATGTTATGTCTTGATTACGTGAAGTGACTGTTTCTCCCTCCTTTGTACTATTTTATCCTTATAGAGTCCAGTGAAAATAAACCAGATTAGTTTGGATGAGAGCGGTGATCATGTTGGCGTCTGCTCTGAGGATGGAAAGGTGATAATTTCCTTTATTCACTACAGCTCCCATTTCTCTTTATCTTCCTTTATTAGTCCTTTATGATCAATCAATCATAGCCCAATCTAATCCAAACCCTAACCCTCAGTCTATTCATAAAAAAATGAGAGCCCCAGTGACCTATCAGTCAGTACTTCCAGGCTTAGTTCCTGAACCCTTCTCCTAAAATCAAAGGGCAATGATTGGTTGATCAGAACGTTGCTTCAGGACAAAAAAATTTGATCCAGAAACAAGTTCTGCTTCTGTAAATCATATTACACATTATTTGTCACAACTAGGCTACCTAGTTAGGTTTTGTTAGGTTGCTTGTCAAAAAAAAGAAGAAGAAGCCAGGTCAGATTGGTCTGAATGAAATAATCACGGAAATTTGGCAATGAATTGGTTGAAATATTTTTGTATATGTTATATTATGGTAGCAGAAAGTTATTGATGATGAATATGAACACACATATATCCAGACAGTCCATCACCATTCCATACACTACTCTAGGCAAGGCAAGGTTTATTTATTCATATTTTTAATTGAATTATTTATTTTTCATGCATAATGGTAATTAAAAGTGCTTTACACAAAGATGATTAGTCATACAAATAAAGAAAAAAAAATAAATTAATTATAAAACAAGTAAGAATTAAAAATGGAAGAATTGAATAAATGAATTAAAATGAAACAAAGTTTTAAATTAAAAGGAAAAATAAATAAGAGACATGCAGTACATAAAAAGACTACTGAACTATTGGCATTATAAAAAGACTGTTCAGACTGATCAGTTGATTTAATTAAAAAATAAAATTAAGAAACCCATTGCCTTAAAATTATTAAGTAAATAAAGTTCATGCTTAATCGAAAAAAATAAGTAACTGTCAAGTTCACATAAACTTTTTTTTTTCAATTAAAGGGACTATGTGTAGGTTTTTTACTTAAAAAAATCTTTAAGATAGAGTCTTCATTTGTACATTTATGAGCCAACCATAATGAAATAGAAAGAATGACACTTTGACTGTCCACCACGGTTGCCTCGATCAGCCTGTAGGTGGCTGTGTGTAGAGGAGTCGGGTCCGAGTTGGTGCGAAAATTCACAAAATGTGACGTCATGCGCATTCTCGTCTACTTGGGCTTACATCCATATGGCAGCCATTAGTAAGCAGCGGCAATCGTTAGTAGTAGTGTTTCAAATGGACTTTGCGGACGGAAGAAGTGACCAGTCTCCAGCACAACAAGCCTTATCTAGTGCGGCCAACGAGCGTATGCACCGTGATCGAGCATGAGACTGGCTGCAGTTTATGCAATGGCCACTGGTGTCAGCATGGACGTAGGAGCCATTATACGTCCCACATTTCAAAATCTAAGTTTTGTCCCCCCCACTATTTCCCAATGTAGGATTTTGTTTTGCATTGCCTACCTATCTCTACCAATTTTGGAGTCACCCAATTAATCCATTCTGCAACTTTTAAATACATAATTACATTTTTAAAAACGGCCGGTATTCTTCAGCTGCTTATGTCGTTAGTCGACCATGATCGCGGCATCGAGGTGACACGGATAAATGTACGCATTAATATGTTCCTGGGAGATCTGTAGTTGCACGGGATGTGGAAGCGCGCAAAAGTTACAGAAATGTACAAAAGTGCCCTGGCCTTGAATGACAAGGTAAGGAAAATAAGACTAAACCAAAATGAAAAAAACAAGACTTGGTTGGTATCTTTCTCAGGAGATGTTTTGAGCATTTTACTTCAGACACCGGATTATCAGCAAACTGCCAAGAGAACTGCTAGCTGGCTACTCAAAATAAACTAGCAATCTATTCAGTCAGCATATTTGTGTTTGATCTGTGTGGAAAAACTTAAAATATCATTTCTAGACCTACTTTTAGCTACCAAGCAACCTTTCCACAAGGGATAGATTGATTTTATTTTTTAGTATTTTATAGTTAATGAAAATCAAATCAAGCATTTATTTGAGTTAATCAGTACATGACTGATTAACAGTAATGTAAATGCTAAATACCGTAATACATGTTGATACAACAATGCAAAGTATGCTCTTAACCTTGCAGTTATTTCACATATCAGGTAAGCCTCAATTTCTCCATTTCTTTGCACAAAACTCTCCAGAAAGTGTCATTTAATGGTTTATTTTTCAAAAAACTTTTAATGGTTTAATGGTTTATTTAATGGTTTATTTTTCAAACCCCCCCCCCCCCCACCTTCACAATGGTAGCATAGGTGCATAGGAACAATCCTTCATAAAACGCATAAAACTTTAGTTTACAAAAGACGTGAAACTCACTGAGTGGTCTGGGGTGTTCACTGATATGATATACTCACACAAAAATCGCTGCAAAAGACGCTTTCCAACAGGTTTTATTGTAGTTTTTGTACAACTTCATTGACTTGTATTGTATGTTCTGTGATGTATAGTATTACTCCGCCGCCGGAAATGGGGTTGTTTGTATTCTTTCTGTAGTCTTATGCAGTCGCAGTATCGTAGGCTACACTATACAAGTGGTTTGCTTGCAATTGGCAAAGGTGCATTATCGCCACCAACTGGGCTGGAGTGTCTATTATTCAAGCTCTCAACGGAAGAATGTACGGTTGTGAGGTGTTCGGAAAAATAGGCCTACAGTTTTACAACGATTGGTAAAACACCTGTTGGAAAGCATCTTTTGCATCAATTTTTGTGTTAGCATATCAGTGAACACCCCAGACCACTCAGTGAGTTTCACGTCTTTGTAAACTAAAGTTGTATGTGTTTTATGAAGGATTGTTCCTGTGCATCTATTTGAAGGTGGGGGGTGCAACCACAGAAACGGAAAATTCTCGGGACAGCAGCATCTGTCTAAAAAACAATCTTAACCATTCTATCTCATCAGAAAAAAACAGGGCTTTAATTGTAAAATACAGAACTTGTCCTTTAATCATTACATTTATTTTAATTAATTTTAAGGCAACCGCATTTTTTTTAAGTCAACTGAACATTTTTTTACATTGGAGAATGAGTTTGTACACTTTCAGCAAAGTATGCAAGATTGCAGTCGAATCATGCAAATCACATTCAGCACTAATTCTTGTGTTTATGCCATTACATGATTTGCAGGTTTCTTTAGTGAATTGGGTGCTAAATGGATCTCGCTATCGGCACTGCTCGATTCATTCTCAGTGAATTTCCCCATGCGAATCTAGGAACTTGTTTACTTGAGTTTTCATATCTTTCTCTGTTTGCAAGAGATGATGCAGTGCCTGTCTTCCTACTCAATACCAGCTCCGTCAACTCTGACACCTGCAGAAACAGCGTGTGTGCATTTGGTCCATCTTAAAATGTGTGGTTAAAAAAAAAAAAAAACACCTCTCCTCCACGATCCTTCCGTGATTTCTATTGCTCCTCTCCATCTATCTGCTCATTGATCATGAGCTGGCTGTTATCAGTCCACGGAGGCTAATCATCAGCACCTTGTGTGGCTTTCTCAGGCTGATCTGTGGTGTGATAGACCACGTTTATCCCTGTTCCTATGGCAAAGTGAGATCTTGTCGCACATACACCAATTAAAATCGATATGGAGGCCATTGTTCGCTCCTCTGCACTGTTGAGCCCGGCTTACCGACTGCTTTTGCTACCGTCGGTACACAAAATATGATACCTTTTTTAAAAGAGGATGAGTGTTTGAAGCATCTTTTTTTTCCATTATTCGTTTCCCCTCCCCAAGAAATAGAAACTACGCTTTGAAAATAATGATTTTGAGACTTGAATTGTTCATACGTTTTGGGAAACTTATGAACAATTCAAATTCAGTAGTTTCCGAAGTAAAATAGGATGCAACTGAGGTTTCATGAACAAACTTGTGATAAAGATGGTGTATTAGCTTTAAAATATAGTTGATCATTTGCTCCCCAAACTGTAAAACTAGAAATTGAAATTTAATTTTTAATCTTCAGTTTTCTTAATGGCATAAATGTTGAAGTGGTTGGTGGTGATATTTGCAATTCACAAGATACAATGGTGACTTTTTTTGTACATTAAACTTTGATTAAAATCGAAATTGAGGCCATTGTTGTCTTCTCTCCACTGTTACCGACTGCTTTGATACCATTTTTATGCAAAATATGACAAATTTATTTAGAGAAAGAATAGGGTTTTTCCAAAACTGAGATTAGCTATACCAGAAAAGGAAACATATGAAAAGTTCAAAGTTAGTAGTTTCGTTTCAAACCATCATCTTAAATGTGAGAGGATACTTTACTTTTCAATAGTGATTTTTTTTGAGAGAGAGAGAGAGAGAGAAAGGGAGAGCTCACAATCATTTTTCACCGCTCTTGTTTCAGACAGGTGTAGGTGAAATGTTGTGTTAAGGCTTGTTTGTAGCCGTCGGGGACTGCAGCACAGCTAGCGATTAAGTCGGTAGCATAAAAGCGTGCGAGGGCAGAAAGAGTTGACCTTTCCACTAATTGGGAGTCTGGCAGACGGTTAACTAGCCCGCTGGATGGTTTGATGCTTTGCCCAAGTCAACTGTTAGCTCAGAACTCATCTCGGGACCACGGTGGTTTTACCTCAAAAAGAAATCTCTGTCTCTCTTTCTCAATTTCTCTCTCGTCTTTTTCAGGTACAAGTGTTCGGCCTGTACACCAGGGAGGGCTTCCACGAAAACTTTGACTGCCCGATCAAGGTAACTTATTGCTGTTAATGCGAGTCGTCGATCCCCCGGCAATGTTTTTGCTGCCTGATGGGAAATAGGCCTTTGATTTCGATTTCCTGTCACAGCAAGCATTGATAATTCTCGAAAACAATGTAATTTCACCCTGCTACTCGTCTTAATTGATTTCTCCAGGGTATTTCATATCATGCATGAGCCGCCTGTTTGTTGAGCATGAGTGATGTCACCTATGGCACACATAAAGAGAGCCTTTGCTGTCATTTTTTAATATCGATACTTTTTGTGTATTGGACTGTGAGGATCGATCCTTTAACTTTTCCTGGGCTAAAAATGACTTTATTGAGCATGTTTTCTGACTGGATGCAGTCTAACCCCCTCTGAGGCACTATATGGCTTTGGAAATACTGGAGTGGACATTGATATTAACTCAGGTATTGCTGTAAACTAAACTGAAATGCCTTTTTCAATTCTAGGTTATGGCGCTACACCCTCAATTCATCAAGTCCAACAATAAGCAGTTTGTGACTGGAGGAAATAAGGTGAGTCCAGTTTCAGAATCGCGTGTGTTGGAGGCACATCTTTGAATCTGGTCTAAGCTATGCCTGGATTCCATTCCCCTCACTGTACTCACACAAGTAGCTCCTCCCTCTCTACTACACATTTATTTAGCAAATCTCACAGTTGTTATAAAACATCTTTATAGATCTCAACTTTTAGAGGACTCCAATCACTCAGAAGCTGCTCAAAGTTATAAACCATGCACATGCTCCAGAATCTTGAGCCCTCTTGCTCGTGGGACATTTTGGTCTGGGTCAGGTCCCAATCCCACATTTTTGTACATTTGACATGTTTATGCAGGGTGGTGATGGCCAACGCATTCTCATCCTAGGGCGTCATATAGTGACACTTTTGAAATTTCATCTACGCACATGGCACCCTTTAGCGTCAGCTTTGTTCGGTTATGGTAGGTTTAGTTCTGGGGTTAGTTTAGGGTTACACCACTAGGAGGCGCCTTCTGGCCCATATATATCTGCGTCTCATATTGACGCTAATGCTACGTTCACACCGGACGCGAATAGCACGTCAAATTCGCATCTACCGCATCTAGTTTGACGCTTGACCACTTTGTGTTAATTTGCGCGTCAAGAGCGAAACTGACGCAGGTAAAATAAAAAGTTTGAAGCGAAATTTACGCGCGTCAAAACCGAAACCCGTTGACGGCCATCTTTGTTTATGTTGATCGAGCATTCATCGAGAGATTCACCGCACTGTATTTGCTCTGGAGAGCTAGAACAACGGCATGGGGATCATCGTCGCCATATTTGTGTCCACCGGACCCTTCGGAGGCGAACCATTTGGCTAGTTCCACCATTTGCTCGCTCCATGAGCTGCGCCTGGATGACTGCCACTGTCAGCGGTACTTCCACCTGTCCCGCGCCCAGTTTGATGACCTGTTGTCCCGCATCGGAGCGAGGATCATCCTTGCCCTCATCCACCTAATCTAGCTGTCATTTATTTTTGTTTTGATGATAAATAGAGCCAGCTTCCAAAAGTTATTAACCTGTCCTGTGATTTTTTTTTTTTCTCCCTCACATCCAGACACGAACTTATGCACATATGTTGATTGTCTTTACATCATAATACTATTTCATATAATCTAGATATGGAATGAATAACATTCAATACAAAATGAACATGTCTCGTATATAGAAATAATGTTTTAAGTGCTAAAATATTTGCTTCGTTGTGCTGACGCGGCGGTTGGTTAACGCGGCGCGAATTCACGCCAAAGTTCAGATTTTTCAACTCGGACGGCAGACACGAATTCGTGTCAAATGCGTGAATGCACAAATGGCACTAACTAAATCATTCTCGCTTAATGCGCCAGATGCTCAATTCGCGCCATTCGCGTCTTCCGCGCTGCGCTCCACGCCTCATTCGCGCCGCAGGAATTTTGTACACGCGTAACGCGTCTTTGCATTGACTGATTGAAACATCGAAATCATTCGCGCCTGACGCGCTATTCGCGTCCAGTGTGAACGTAGCATAAATGGTGCCATGTGCGTTGGATGTAGACAAAATGTCAAAAGCGTCAGTATGTGATGCCTTGGGATGGGAACGGGCTGTGGTGGTGCAGTGGATAAGACACATGCCTTTGGTGTGAGAGACTTTGGTTCGAGTGTGAGACACCAATGTGTCCCTGAGCAAGACACTTAACCCCTAGTTGCTCCAGAGGCGTGCGACCTCTGACATATAAAGCAATTGTAAGTAACTTTGGATAAAAGCGTCCGCTAAATGAATAAATGTAAATGTTATGCATTTGGCAGACGTTATTATCCAAAGCGACTTACAATTGCATTTCAAAGAACACATTCACATTTTTATCAATTCTTGCTTTCCCTGGGAAATGAAACCATGACCTTGGCGTTGCAAGCGCCTATTCTCTACTGTTTGAGCTAAAGGAAAGCTGTAGTGGTTAGTGCAGTACTAAACACGTTTAGTGTTCTCCACTAAACTTTCATCATTGAGGGTTTGAACCAGGATCACTATCGTTCAAAAGTTTGGGATCAATCATCAATACTATTTTTTTTTTAATTTACATATAATACTTTTACTCAGAAAGGCACATTAAATTGTTTAAAAGTGAAAGTAAACTCTTTAAAATCACACCAAAAAAAAAAAAAAAAAAAAAATCAAATAAATGCTGTTGTTTTGAACTTTCTGTTCATCAAAAAGCACCACATTTCATAATAATAAGAAATGTTACCTGAGCACCAAATCAGCTCCAAAGACTGGAGTAATGATGCTAAAAATTCAGTTTAGCCTTTACAGGAATAAATTGCTTTTTAAAATTAAAATAGAATATAGTTATTTTAAATTGGAAATAATATTTTTACAATATTACTGTTTTTACTGTATTTTTGATCAAATAAACACAGCCTTGCTGAGCTTAAGAGACTTCTTTCAAAAACATTAAAAAAAAAACTACCATCTCCAAATTTTTTAGTGGGATTGTAAATATTTAAGATTGGGTGCAGGCTTATTGCAAGAATAAAAAAAAATCGTTTATTGAAAACGACACATTATTTAACCACTGTTCTGAATTTTGAAAGGAAGTTTGAATGCCTTAAAAAATAAAAACAAAAACAAAAGCCACAATCATGCCTAGTCTAAACGCTAAACACACATTGTGTGGTCTCTATCATTTGATGCTCTTGAGGTTTCACCACAAGGGTTAAGCTAAATTATTAGAATGAAATCATTTTTCGTCACGTTGAGTGCCGTGTATAGTGGTTACTCAAACTGAAACTGTTCGGCATGAAACGCTCTTACCATCTTGGCCTTACATCGTGGTCAACATCAGGGAGAGAGAGAGAGAGAGACAGAGAGTGGTCCATTTTCTCCAAAGTGTTGTTCACTAAAGAGATGTTGTCTCTTCTTGCGCAATAAATAACTGTCATTACATAGAGTGCCATAGTGTTCGCAACATGTAGAACACTCTTTGGCTTATGGACTAAACAAATACACTCATTTTTCAAAGGACACAATGCTACCAAACCAAGATGCCATAGTCTGATACATTCCAGACGCCCATACATCTATAGAAATGAAAACAGGGTTTGGGTCTGTCATAAAAGCTCTTAGAAGAAGTTGATCTGTTTGCATGCAGTGATCAGACATCTTGTGGCTGGAAAAAAAAAAAAAAAAAACTTCAATTGTTGAAAAAGTGAATTTGAATAAATTCCTCTGGTTCTTTGTGAAGTGGACTGTTAGAGACGTACAAATCTCGGACCACTCAAATAGAGTCTTCTCGATTTCTGTAAATCATAGATTTTTATCCACCGTGCCATGGTCGATTCATATAAAATGGCTCCACACCGTCACTGCATTGTGCTTATCAGAAGCAATTAACGGCGTCCATTGTGCGCCACGGTGGCCAAGCTCTGCATTTTCCTCCCACTTCTGCTTGTTTCCTTCTCTCTCCCTGTATAAGGTCTCCATAATGCAGCCCTGCCATGAAAATCAATACGGCTTCCACTGAAGACGCATCTTGTCAAAGGCAATTCAATTCCGTCTGCTCGGCTCTTGGAGTGTCATCTCCTATTGCTGCGCTGTGATCTGTTAACATGGCCAAAAGTGTAGAACTGAAGCGACATTGAACCGTCTTTGCTTTTCAGTCACTTTCTCCGCGGTCAGGTCAGGTTGGCCGCGTGTGATTGTGCGTGGCGTTTTTGACACTTTTCGATTCAAGGTTATCCACATTGTCGCTTTTTGCACGTGATTATTATCACACAATCCTTCAGAAAATGTCCTTCTTGCACCTATAATGTCAGAAAATCGCAGACGTATCAAAGGAAAGCGAATCGTTAAACACCTTTTAATAGAAATTCCATTGTTTGAGTCTGTTCATGAGATGTCAATACGCGGCATCTTTTATTGCTTTTGTTTCTGAGGTTTGATTGTGTCATACTGCGCCTTACTTAAGTGACTTTATGAATATCACATTATCTAAAGGTTGAACCGAATGTTGCCTTTTCGTAAAACGGATTTTGATTGTGAAATGGATCTTGTATTATGATTTTTATTGAATCTACTGCCTGATATGACCTTAACAGCATGATAAGGCTAATAAATCTACCTAATACACTGATCCAATCCGATACTTTAGAAAAATATAATAAAGCAAAGAAATTGTACTACACTGGAAAAATATTGTACCTAATATTGAAAAATGTTGCATAAAACTGCCCCTGAGGCGAAAGTCTTTCGATTTTTTTTTAAAACCTTGTTAAACATAAAAGGATGGTGCATATTAGTACCTTAAATGTACACGACCGTTTTTTAGAAATTAAGAAATTAATTCTTTTATTCACCAAAGATGGATTAAATTAATCAAAAGTAACATTAAAGCTCAAATAAATGCTGTTCTTTTGAATTTTCTAATTATCAAGTAAAAAGAAACTGAAAATGTCCACAAAATGATTAAGCAGCCCTATGTTTTTGAATGTATTGAATTATATTGAATATGCCGGTAATAAGAAATGTTTCCTCAAATCAGCATGATTTCTGAATGATCATGTGACACTGAAGACTGGATGAATGGCTGCTGAAATTTCAGCTTTTCATCTCAGGAATAAAGTACAATTAACACTTATCAAAATAGAAAAGGGTTCTGTAATGATATTTACAATTTTACTGTTTTACTTTTTTTCTCTCAAATACTTTTGGAGCCTTGGTGAGCATAAGAGACTTCTTTCAAAAACATTACAAATATTATATATTTTTATACTATAATATTACTGGCTTTTAAAAGGGTACAGTCCCAGTGACATCTAATCTGCATTTATTTCCCTGAGAGTGTTGGATAAACGATAAAAATGGTTTCTGATCAGAATTAAATGCCCTTGCAGTCACATCGACTTTGGTACATATTTGTGCTCTATGTTCTATTGCCCTCTGGTGTCTAGTGCAAGCAATACAGCGAATTTTGTTTCTTGTGGGTGAATCTCTGTGAGCAAATACTCACTAACGTTAATAAAATGCGTCCCACAGCTTTTGCTTTATGAGAGGAACTGGCTGAACCGTTGGAAGACCTCTGTTCTGCATGAAGGAGAGGGAAACATAACCAATGTGAAGTGGAGAGGCAACCTCATTGCCTGGGCAAACAATGTGGTACGATCAGATTTAGAAACATTATACATATTAATTACGATGCCTTACTAGTCATGATTTTATCTAAAATGTACTTGATGTGTGTCAGGGTGTGAAAATCTATGACATCGCCAGTAAACAGCGCATCACTAATGTGTTGCGGGACAACACAAGTCTAAGGCCGGATATGTATCCCTGCAGTCTTTGCTGGAAAGACAACACCACACTGATCATCGGATGGGGCTCTTCTGTTAAGGTGTGTGTTCAGTACAACTACAGAGCAAGTATTTTAATAATAGGAAATTTGATGTTTGGTTCATTTGTTTTTTTCAGATATGTGCTGTTAAAGAGCGTGACCCGACAGAGATGAGAGATCTACCCAGTCGCTACGTTGAGATTGGTATTGAAGCAACAGGCATACACATAATGAGAACATGTAACATCATCAAGTTTAAAGGGGTCATATGATGCTTTTTAATGTTTTCCTTTTCCTTTAGTGCATCTATACTATCTGCAAAGTTACAAAGCTTGTAGTCTCACTCAAAGAAAAACGGATGAAATTAGGAATTAGAGGTTTAGATTTATCTATAAAGCTGTTCCGGAGCAATGCAACTCATAGTTAGTGCAGTTTACCTGTGTGTTTACAATTGCTTAAAGGAATAGTTCACTTAAAAATGACAATTCTGTCATCATTTACTCACTCTCAAGTTGTTTCAAACCTGCTTGAATTTATTTCTTCTGCTGAACACAAAAGAAAATATTTTGAAGAATGTCAGTAAACAAACAGTTGATGGACCCCACTGACTTCCATAGTATTTTTTCTTTTTCTTTGGTCAATGGGGTCCATCAACTGTCCGGTTAAATGATGGCAGAATTTTCATTTTTAAGTGAAATATTCCTTTTAAAGCCTCGAAAGCTGAAGCTCGTGATTATGGCTTGAGGCGTTACATTTCTGACACTCTTGAAGTGTTTGGCCAATCAGAACACTGAGCTTTTTGGAAGGAGGGGCGTTGTTGAACTCAGTGTGTTTCAGACAGACTGGGAATAGAGGAGCTCCAGTAATGTAATATTTATTTAAAAATATTTAAACATTAAAGCAGGTTAATCGTTTTCACCTAATAAACAAAATAGTGAACTTTTAAAATGGCATCATATGATCCCTTTAAAGGGACAGTTTATCCAAAACTTCAAATTCTGTCATTAATTAACTCACTCTCAAGTTGTATAGTAGCATAACTTTATGACTTTTTTGTTGTTGTTGTTGGTTTTTTTTTGTTGTTTTTTGGTTTCTCTGATTTCTTTCAGTGTCAGCATTTGAGACCGAGTTCTTCATTAGTGGACTGGCGCCTTTAGCAGATCAGCTAGTCACTCTGTACTATGTCAAAGAAAGCTCTGAGGACATGGTAATTTTGCCCACTCTCACCAGTGCTACCTGAAAAAGTCTGCTTTTAGATGTAGCATCCAAACTGTTCCAGGATATCCTTTAGATCAGTGGTTCTCAGCTTTATCAAATATCCAAGGAGGCCAGAAGGTCTCCAACTCCAGAACCAATTGGTGGACCTAATGGGTGGAGCTTGAAAGTCAAGCCACACCCTAACACTACCAATAACAGTATGCCTAAACATAGGCTGGAGAACATAACTCCACTAAATGGGTGGAGTTATGTATAGCAATAGGGTTATGGGTAGGGTTAGGGTGTGATCTAGGGTTAGGGAGCTTGATGATTGACGTCACTTTGTAGGCCAACTGTCAGATAGCATCACACTGGTTCCCTCAAGAAAATCTTCCCATAGGCTTTTAGATTATCGCAAAAAACAGGCTATGTTTAACAAAAGTGTATGATACTTGCACATTTTGTCCATCAAGATAATTATCACAGATGAACACTACTTTTATGAAGATTTTGAAGCTGCAGTCGCCATGTAAAAAGCTAAAGGTGGGCTATAAACGAACTACACCACAGTCCCACGACTTCGTCACCATCACTAAGCTTCCGACAACTCTTTCAGTTTTTTTTATCTAAAACATTTTCCCAGAATGATTCAATTAGAACAGTTTCTAAGAGCACAATTATAAGCAAAGATGCAGTAAAAGCGGATTGAGTTTACCTTTTCTGCGTGATGACGTTTAATCTCGACAGCCTCTGTAGACCCATTTAGCCAATTGTTAGCAACCGCCTTTTTCAAAACACATTACAGCTTCAAAAAATCCTGAATGGGGTAATACTGATGTAATTTATGTCACAGAATCTAAAACGTGAAAAGGTCTTAGACCTTATTTCAGCCATTTAACCCAAACCCCATTCAAAAAACCAATTGACTTCAGGACAATGGAACCGGAATGCTAACTCGCGTCTGCGTTTTGGCCTACAAAGTGATGTCATAGCTGCACCCCTCTATTGGCTCCTCAGAGAGTAGCCTCTCAATACAACTACGTCAAACTCCACCTATTAGGTACACAGAGGTAGAGATGGACATCATTTGGTTCTGCATTGAGCAAGACGACTTAAAATGATTTCAAATAAGACAAAAAAAGTTTTGATTCAAGCTAAAATTCAAGATGTAATTTTCCGACATTTTTATTTTAATTCGTTCCCTCAACACTTGCCAGTTTATTAAAAAACTTGGAAATCTTGGATATATGAAAAGAATTGAAGTTTTAAATTTTAAGTCATGGAATGTTTTATAATAAATATGAATTGAAATAAAAATATGCATTTATAACAAATAAATAGATATTAACTTGTATTAGGTTATGTTGAACTTGAAATTATTGGGTAGAAATGACTATTTGTAAATATTTTATTTTTTCAAAAATCCCAGTTATCACGAATTAATAAATGTAAGTGTGTTTGTGACAGGAGGAAGAGTTCAGAACACGGCCTCGTTTAGACATCATCCAGCCGTTACCCGAGGGCTGTGAGGAGATCTCATCCGATGCTCTCACTGTACGCAACTTCCAGGAGAACCAGTGCAGGGACTACAGGCTCGGTATGATCAAGACAATGATTAAACAACTGGAATACCATAATGATGAAGAGGCTTACAAATCGCCTTCAATCCACAGTTTAATCGATTCAATTCCCATTTTGATATAATCGTTTCCAGAACACTCAGAGGGAGAGTCTCTATTCTATATAATCAGTCCTAAAGACATTGTAGTGGCTAAAGAAAGAGACCAGGATGACCACATCGACTGGCTTCTGGAGAAGAAGAAATATGAGGTATGAGTTCGGGAGCCTAAGGATGCATTTATATTTTAACATTAAAAAATCTGAGTTGTACTTTAATGATTTCTGATTTGGATCTTTGTAACAGGAAGCACTGATGGCTGCAGAGATCAGCTTCAAAAACATTAAACGTCATGACGTACAGGTGAAAACAAATAAATCTTAAAATGTGGATTTGATGCTGTGTCTTTTTTGTATAACACTATCAGATGATATCCTGAAATCACAATATGTGTGCTTCCTGTCTGTGCTTTGAGAATAGAAAATTGGAATGGCGTACATTAATCATCTGGTGGAGAGAGGAGATTATGACACGGCTGCCAGGTACAGGACATCAAGACTCTGATTTAATAACCTGTTACCTGTTTAAATTAAGAAGAAGCTTCAATGCCCCTTTCTCTCTCTATATTCCTCATTGACAGAAAGTGTCAAAAAGTGCTTGGAAAGAACATGGATCTCTGGGAGAATGAGGTGTACAGGTTCAAAACCATTGGACAGCTGAAAGTGAGTTAACATTATTTGCCACCCTGCTGACCTTTTGTAGTAAATAATATAATATCTGTCAGGATAATAATTAATAAAATGAATATAATAAAAACCAGTAATAATAATAATAATTAGCATTATTGTAAATATTAGTTATGTACCACAATGACTTTAACAAAGTTAATGCCAAGAGAAATTAACGATTAATATGAAAAGTATATGAATAATATATTAAAACTTGTAACCATGAACCTTGTGTTATTAGAACAATAACATAATTTGCCTTTTTATTTATTTATTTTTTCCCCAAGACTTTTAGTGTGGTCTTTATTATGATTATGTTGTTATAATAATAATAATAATTATTATTATTATTATTGCTACAATAATTGTCATAATAATGATTATTATTGCAATTATTAATAATAAACGATAATACAAAATCAGGTTGATGATATTATTATTAGAGGTAGTCCTCGAAGACTGACAAAGTTCTGAGAAGTGAAACTTATTTTTAGGCTATTATGTAATATTATGTTATTGAAATTATTATGAATAATAGAAGTATTAATATATAATATAAAAAATCTGATTGATTATTATTATTTACTACTTTGACAGTTCTGAGAAATGACTTGCAGTGTGGTCTTTATTATTACTATTTTGTTGTTATAATAATAATAATAATAATAATATGTCTGGTATTATAATTATTATTAATTATCACTTAATAGTTACTACACTGATTTTGACAAAATGTCTGAGAAATTAATAGCATTTTAAGATATAAAAATATTAAAATAATAATCTTAATTTAAAATGCTTCTTTTCAGCATTTACACATCCACTACCTGCTATCTCCATTCTTCTTTTTCTCAGGCGATCAGTCAGTACTTACCAAGAGGAGACCTACGTCTTAGACCAGCGATTTATGAGATGATCCTTCATGAGTTCCTCAAGACTGATTATGAGGTATGTGTTTTACTTTACATTTCTTTCATTTGCACAAACATGACATTGTAACCTGTTAGGTAGGCCACAAGATTAAAGGGATACTCCACCGTTTTTCCATATTAAACTATGTTATTGCCTTAACTAAGACGAGTTGATGCATACCTCTGCCGTCTCAATCACTCTGGCGGGCGAGACACTTTGATTGCACTGAACTCGCCCAGTTCATTCATTAGGATCCAAGTAGAGAAGCGACCAAACACCTCCACGTTTTCCCTATTTAAACACAGTTACACGAGTAGTGTAACTCGACCAAAAATGGTGACACAAAATAAAACGTTGCGCTTTTCAACGGGAGAAGACTTTTCACGAGTAATGATATTACTGCGGCGAGTCGAAGTGCTCCCAAGCACTTGCTGTGGTATTCCACCATATTATAGTTATCCACTTTTCAAAGTGTCTAGTGCGCCAGAGTCGAGAGAGGGAATCAATGCATCTTAGTTAAGGGAATAACATAGTATAATATGAAAAAACGGTGGAGTATCCCTTTAAGGTTTCCAAAAGTGAATGCGTCACAGAAACATCCTTTACGGTAGCAAGGAAATCCCTTTACTTTTGTTGTTTCTCACACAGGGTTTTGCCACACTGATTCGTGAATGGCCAGGAGAGCTGTATAACAACATGGCTATAGTTCAGGCAGTGAATGAACACCTGAAGAAGGACCAAACCAACAGCATTCTCCTCACCACACTGGCTGAGCTGTCAGTGAATGCTGACAGTTTCTCATTGTGTTACTAAAAGCTTGTAGCTCTACCCAAAGTAAGTCTGGTCTTATATGTGTGTGTGCAGGTACACGTATGATCAGCGTTACGATCGCGCTCTGGAGATCTACCTGAAACTGAGACATAAAGATGTTTACCAGCTCATTCACAAACACAACCTCTTCTCCTCCATCAAGGACAAGATTGTCCTGCTCATGGATTTTGACAAAGAGGCAAAACATCTTTTTGTTGTTGTTGTTTTTGACATTATTGAGGACCTTTGTTTTAGAATTTAATACAAGAAACTTGAAATGAAATGTCAAGCGCATAAGTTCAGGAAGTTATGGATTGTTTTGCTGATATATATATATATTATAGATGACTTTGGAAGAATGTGATTTATAGTCTCAGTGATGTGTCTGAAGGATACATACGCCTCTTTGTTCTCTATTTCTTTCTTGTTTTTTCAGAAAGCTGTTGACATGCTGCTGGATAATGAAGATAAAATATCGGTGAGTTCACTGCAGTGGCTTCTCTCGTCTGATTAAACCTCAAACTCTCTGCAAAGACGAACATCTGTGTTTCTCTCCCTCAGATCGACAAAGTGGTGGATGAATTAAAAGACAGACCTGAGCTGTTACATGTGGTATGCTGCTGAATATGAGCTGTTTTAATCATGCAGATGTGTATGAAGAATACAATACGATGCTTAACTTCATTTACGTCTGGTTCTCTTCCAGTATTTGCACAAGCTGTTTAAGCGAGACCACCATAAGGGGCAGAAGTACCATGAGAGGCAGATCAGTTTGTATGCGGAGTTTGACCGACCCAACCTACTGCCCTTCCTCAGGGAAAGCATGCACTGCCCGCTGGAGAAGGTCATTTGTTATCTATGAAAATGATTATATACAGTGGCTTCTCCTACTTTTCTAAGGACCACATATCATTGAGACGCCAGACCACATATCATTGAGAATGAAACGTGGTCTGGAAACCACATGTTCAATTTCTCGTATTTGAGGCGTGGTTTACGAATGCCCAGAGCCGTATTATTGGGTGCTACGAATGTCTATCAAATGCGCATGTACGTCTACCAAATGCACCTGTGCTCCCTCCCCGTTCTGTGATTGGTTCCCTATTTCAGGGGACAATTTGGTTCATGGTGTCCAAACTGCCTAGCAGTGCAAATAAAATCGCGCTGCGGCAAGGCAGAATGGGGAAACCCAGGCTAATATTTAGTGCCAGTTTATCAGGAAGTGACAATTTGGTTTTCTTCAACTCACTGGATAGAAACCAGTGTTTTAGTAGTTTTATGCAATATTCCCATTTTGAGCCAAGTTAAATTCACAGCTTTGGATGGAAACATGTGGACTGAAGACTGGAGTAAATTCAGCTTTCATCACAAGAATAAAGGACATATTTCACTATATTATTGTTTTTTTACTTTATTTTTAACATTAAAGGAGTAGTTCACTTTAAAAAAAATGTTTGCTGATAATTTACTCACCCCCATGTCATCCAAGATGTCCTTGTCTTTTTTTCTTCAGTCGAAAAGAAATTAAGGTTTTTGATGAAAACATTCCTGGATTTTTCTCCATATAATGGACTTCAATGGGAACCAAATGGTTCAAGGTCCAAAAGACATTTTCAGTGCAAACTGTTTGAAGGGCTTTAAATGATTGCAGACGATGAATAAGGGTCTTATTAAGCAAAATGATCGCTCATTTTAAAAACAAAACAAAGTATAAGTTTTATAAGCTCAAATGGTCGCCTTGCTCTGTTCTGTGGTGAGCGTTCGTGACTCTCCTGTTCAAACTCGTTTGTCAAAATGAACGAATCTTTTGGTTCATTCAACTAACAAAATGAACAAATTGACTCGGAAAAAGATTCGTTCATTTTGATGAACGAGTTCGAACAGGAGAGTCACGAACGCGCATCACACGTGCATCACATGAGCTTATAAAACGGAAACTTTTTTTTTTTTTTAAATGAGCGATCGTTTCGCTTGATAAGACCCTTATTCATCGTCTGCAATCGTTTAAAGCCCTTTGAACAGTTTGCACTGAAACTCTCTTTTGGACCTTGAACCGTTTGGTTCCCAATTAAGTCCATTTATATGGAGAAAAATCCTGGAATGTTTTCATCAAAAACCTTAATTTCTTTTCGACTGAAGAAAGAAAGACATGGACATCTTGGATGACATGGGGGTGAGTAAATTATCAGCAAAAGTTTTTTTAAAAGTCAACTACTCCTTTAACAATACAAATCTTACCACCCCCTACTGTATTTACTGTAGTGTATGTTTTTTTTAAAAAAAACATTTATACAACATTATTAAAAATAATTAAATACTTTTAATTACTAAATTGTTCAACCATCAAATAAAAGGTAAAAATAACATATTTTAGGTTCAATTAACATGTTTTAGTTATAAGACAATGACTTTAACAAAGTTTTGTGAAATGAATAACATTTTATTAAAAATACATAGTATATTCATGTATATTCATACATGTTCTGGTGAAAGTTCAAGCCTTTATTTGTTATAATTTTGATGATTATGGCTTACTGCTATGAAAACTTTTTCACAATATTCTTATTTTGAATTTGGGGTTTTCATAAGCTGTAAGCCATCATCATTAAAATTATAACACATAGAGGCTTGAAATATCTCACTTTGCATGTATGAGTCTATATAATATATTAGTTTCACTTTTTAAGTTGAATTATTGAAATAAATTAACTTTTGCACGATATTCTATTTTTTCGAGTTTCACATGCATGTAAGTCTACCGGTCAAAATTTTGGAAACATTGAGGTTTTTTTTTTATATTTTTAAAAGTAGTCTCTTAATCTCACCAAGGCTACATTTCTACTGAGAAATATTATTACAATTTCTATTAACTGGTTTTTGTCATAAAATATTTTAAAAGGTAATTTATTCCTGTGACGCAAAGCTGAATTTCAGCACCCATTACTCACTCTCTCTCACGTCCAGACACGAACTTATGCACATATGTTGATTGTCTTTACATCATAATACTATTTCATATAATCTAGATATGGAATGAATAACATTCAATACAAAATGAACATGTCTCTTATATAGAAATTATGTTTTAAGTGATAAAATATTTGCTTTGTTGTGCATAATCCCACCATGCATTTAGTCATATACAAAATATTTATTGAAGCATCCAGACACTTCACCACGTGAGCAAGCAGCTAGGCTCCTGATTGGTTAACGCGGCGCAAATTCACGCCAAAGTTCAGATTTTTTAACTCGGATTCGCGTCAAACGCGTGAATGCACAAATGGTACTAACTAAATCATTAGCGCTTAACGCGCCAGACACTCAATTCGCGCGAATGAGACGTATTCGCGTCTTCTGCGTCGCGCTCCAAAAATCCGCAGGAATTTTTCACGCGCGTAACGCGTCTTTGCATTGACTTAACATTGAAATCATTCGCGCCTGACTCGCTATTAGCATCCGGTGTGAACGTGCCATAAGAGATCGGGTGTACGATGTTCGCACAGCGGACGAAAAAGCAGCCAAAAAAAGTTCCATTGACTTAATATTGGGGAATTTTCAAAAATTCAAATCCCAACTGTCACTTTCACACAGACACAGACACATCAAGCAGCCAATAAGTAATGGCCTAAAATCTTCAGAGCCACATCATAGCAACCATTTAGGGCCACCCTAGCAACCATAAAACAACATTGACAAGCCAAATATCAGCTCCAGAAAATAGAAGAAACATGAAGTTGGCCTTTTTTGACACTGACTGTCAACTGGTCTTTAAATATCATCTCATAAACTGTATTATCACACCATAGCAACCATATAGAGTACCCTAGTAACCACACAAACACATGAATAAGCCATATCTCAGCACAAGAACATCACACAAACATGGTTGTTGGCTCGTATGCAACAATGTACCACACTCTAGCAACCGGGTGGTGAGTTTTGCCACTGCAAGCACCACTTCACATTTTCTTCTGGAAATGTACATTAAAATATCTATACAGCACAGTTAATTTCAAGCCCTGTATACAAGTATATGTGAGTAAATAAAAGAAAAAGACAAATATAATAGTCTTATACATGTTTTTTTTTTTTTTTTTAACCGCATTTATGTATACAAACAGAAACAAGGCGTACCTGGTGGTAGAATAGGAGTGTGGCAGGATTCACAGATGAGAAATGAAAGAGATTTTTTTTTTTTTGAATTTCTAGTGAAAATTTCTTATTTCTTTTGATGATAAATAGAGCCAGCTTCCAAAAGTTATTAACCTGTCCTGTGATTTTTTTTTTAACCTTTATAGAGTACCCTAGTACTCTATGTAGAGTTTTTTCTCTCTTACTACATTCTAGTTGAGATAGATTTAAAAATAAATATTAACTTTTATTTAGCAAAGGCATATTAAATTGATTAAAAAGACATTTATGAAATTAATAAATATTAAAAAAAGTTATATTTACAATAAATGCTGTTCTTTTGAATGCAACTCTGCCATTGTCCCAATACATTTGTTCAGGTGAAGTCCCAAAAAGTGAAAGCCCATTCAGTTTGTGGTGTAAGCACGGCGGCTCACGTTCAAAGTCATTGTGTGAGCGCAGCGGCTCCCTCCAATTCAACGTTTTACTCACCAACATCCCAGGAGATAAAGGTTAAATCCTCCCAGTGGGAAACATGTATTATCCACATACTTTAGAAATGCAGCTCTCATTCTTCCAAGTATCCTATGGGAAAATCCATACTTCAAACTTTCCAAACACAGGTAACTTCCAAATGTTCCAATGCAGCCAAGGTTTTCAAATCTGTATAGCATTCCAATATAGTATTTGATTCTCTTGATAAATAAACCGACAAGTGAATAAGTTGAAAACCACGTCCATGCATTTCCAACGTCCAATTCCAAAAACTGTTCAACACATGGGTTCCTTGTTTGTCTACCTTATGCCACTAATTGGCACAGGTGTGCAAATTTAACTCCTTCTGCTCCAAGGCCTTCCAAGACCGCAAGATCATGATTCACCAGCAGGGGTCATTAAATTAACTTCAACGTAAATGTCACAATCACAAAATGGCTCCTACAATATCCTTACAAACTCAGTCTTTAAACTGTTGCTCTGTGTCGTCTGTTTCAGGCTTTGGAAATCTGTCAGCAGAGGCACTTTGTAGAAGAGACGGTCTTCCTGCTCAGTGAGTTCTGAATCATTGATCTGTGCATTTCTGTCATAGAAATTGAACGAGTGTTATAGTTTTTTTTACAGTGCAGGTGTAATCCAGTGCAGTGTTTCTGACATTTGATGGTTTCTCCTCTCAGGTCGAATGGGAAACTGCAGACGTGCCCTACAGATGATCATGGAGGAGCTGGCGGATGTGGACAAGGCCATCGAGTTTGCCAAAGAGCAGGATGACCGAGAACTCTGGGAGGATCTCATCTCTTACTCCATAGACAAACCACGTACGAGAACCCAACCTACGCTAGCTCTCTCTGCTTCCTGATGCTTGTTTGAGACTACAGTCATGATTTTTGTCTCACGTTTTCTTCACTTTAGCGTTCATCACAGGCCTCTTGAATAACATCGGAACCCACGTGGACCCCATCCTGCTCATTCACCGCATTAAAGAAGGGATGGAGATTCCTAACCTCAGAGACTCTCTGGTCAAAATCCTACAGGACTACAATCTACAGGTGTGCTAAAAAAAAAACCAAACACGTCGATCAGGCTAGATACATTTGCTTAATCGTTTTGTGATCATTTGTCCTCTAGATCTTACTGAGAGAGGGCTGTAAGAAGATCCTGGTGGCCGATTCGCTGTCTCTTCTACAGAGGATGCACAGGACACAGAAGAGAGGAGTGCGGGTGGATGGTAATCAAACTTTTGGCTTCTAGTCACAAATAAGAAATTTTCACTAGAAATTCAACAAAAAAAAATCTCTTTCGTTTCTCATAGAGGAAAATATCTGTGAATCCTGCCACACTCCTATTCTACCACCAGGTACGCCTTGTGTCTGTTTGTATACATAAATGCAGTTAAAAAAACAAACAAACATGTATAAGACTATTATATTTGTCTTTTTCTTTTATTTACTCGCATATACTTGTATACAGGGCTTGAAATTAACTGTGCCGTATAGATATTGTAATATGATCTTCGAATTTGGCAGCAGGTACATTAGGCTGCTGTCACTTTAAGACCTGACACTTGGATCAATTATACTGTTAAACTTGTGTTTTCTTTCTTAAATGTTCACTTAAATCATAACTGACTGAGTTAAAATTAATTAGACAAGACTGACATTTTGACATTATTTTGTGTGTATTTGACTGTTTAAGTGCAATAAGCAGTGAAAAATAACTACATTTTCTTCTGAGGGGCAGCTTTATGCTGGCATACTTTGGGTGTGAGCATTAATCAGCAGGAATGAGATTTATCTCTAAAGCAGTTGACTTCTAAAACAGTGTAGACCAGTGTTTATATATAATGTTTATTTAATGTGTAATTATTTTATTAATTACTTAAACAAAGTTTAAAATCTTTTTAAGGTGACGATGTGCACAATATATACTTTGCTCAATAATCACTTTCAATCATCAATTTTTTCCCAAATTTTATGCATCTTTCCACCTCACAAATCATGCGATAATGATGCTGACTATGTAGTTGTGTTTTTTTTTTTTTTCCTCATTGCTTGACTGACACACTCTGTTTGTTTCAGACACGGCTCAAGCGTTTGGTGTGGTGGTTTTTCACTGCAGACACATGTTCCACAAGGAGTGTCTCCCATCCCCAGGAACTGTAAGTTCTCTGTCATTTTTACACATTGCACATTTTTTAAATCCACCTTAAAGGGATAGGTCACCCAAAAATGAAAATTGTGTCATTTACCCACCCCCTCATGTTGTTCCAAACCCGTATGAGTTTTTCCTCAGTTGAACACAGAAGATATTTTAAAGAATGTTGGTAACCATATAGGAAATTCATATAGGAAAAAAATACTACAATGGCTACCGTCAACTGATTCTTCGAAATATCTTCTTTTGTGTTCAACAGAAGAAACAAACTCATACAGGCTTGGAAAGACAAATGTTTTGGGTGAACTATTCCTTTAAAGGAGTAGTTCACTTTAAAAAAAAAAATAATTTACTGATGCTGATAATTTACTCACCCCCATGTCATCCAAGATGTCCATGTCATTCTTTCTTCAGTCGAAAAGAAATTAAGGTTTTTGATGAAAACATTGGTCCAACCCAATGGTCCAAGGTCCAAAAGACAGTTTCAGTGCAAACTGCTTAAAGGGCTTTAAAAGATTTCAGATGATGAATAAGGGTCTTATCATGCGAAAAGATCGCTCATTTAAAAAAAAAACTCAAATGGTCACCTTGCTCTATTCTGTGATGCATGACTCTCCAGTTCGAACTCATTCATCAAAATGAAGTCTTTCCCAGAGTCAATTTGTTCATTTCGTTCGTTGAATGAACCAAATGACACGAAAAAAGATTCGTTCATTTTGATAAACGAGTTCGAACAGGAGAGTCACGAACGCACATCACAGAACAGAGCAAGGCGACTATTTGAGCTTATAAAACTTTTTTTTTTTTTTAAATGAGCGATAGTTTCGCTTGATAAGACCCTTATTCATCGGATGACATGGGGGTGAGTAAATTATCAGCAAAAGTTTTCTTTTTAAAAGTGAACTACTCCTTTAATATGTGGCACCGTCACACCATTACTTTGTATGATGATAATAGCATTCAATGATGCTACAGATGCAGGAATGACACACTTCACATTGGAAGCCTTAAAAGTTGAGCAATCTTTACTTTTTCACCATAAAAGTCCATTTTGTGTCCTCTCTGACAGGTTCTAGGAACACAGTATTGTAACATCTGCAGTGCAAAGCGGAGAGGCCCGGGCAGTGGCATACTGGATATGAAGAAATAATCATTCTACTAGAATTACAGTTACACATTTACCACACACTCATTAGAAACAGTTACAAATGCAATGATTAAATGAGCTTCCCTTTAGTAACAGTATTTATTAATCCAAGCTTGTGATCTTCGTGTTAGATTGTTTGACACAAACAGCGCCAATAAAATACTCACAATAAAAGATATGGTGCAACATATCCTTTTTCATCAAATCTCAAGGTCCACTAAGAAATCTGATTGCTAAAAGTTACTGTCTTTTAGTACGATTCAAAATGCTTATTACCTCTAGTAATTTTTACTGATGTAATATACTTCAAATTCAGAGACATTTTTACAATAGTTGTTCAGATAATGAAACAACCCAGCAGTGTTTATCCGGTCAGAAAAATAACATGGTGAGTCTGAGAGGTTTTGGCGGGGATTCTGATACTAACTATACGCGTACATTTATAGTTTAACATGGCAAAACAGCTCCACACATAAACAGGAACGCATTTGACACTGCATATTTCATAGCAATGACCGCAGCGCCCTCTACAGGCCACAGCAAGAAAAATACAAATACACATCAAACCAGAAACATGATGTGAGATTAGAAAGGTTAAACTTTAATAATGTTTCGTCAATCATCATGGAATCAAATAAAATGAGGAGAGGAACATGGATGAAAAGGTTAAAGGGACATTGTTAGAGAACATCCATTATTCGCAATATATCGACAAACTAGCGCAGAACTACATTCTCAGAGGGTTACGGTGGCTTTTTTTTTTTACTCCTCACGAGTGGTAAGAATCAAATCAAACAGGCTTTACCTGCAACACGACAAGGAAGTGCCTTCCAGAACGCATTCTCTAAATATATATGTATACATCTCCCCCAACACTTTAGTATTTTAGTTTCTTCAACATTAAGGCCACTTTAAAAAATTAATTTGAAGACCTGACAAGGGGAGGAAAAAATATCATTTTCAAGTTTAAAGTTGAAACGCTGAATCGCTCATCTTTGGCTGGACTGGTGTTAATTCCTGTAGCCAATCAGAGCCCAGGACCTGGTCGACATGGTAACCACAGATATGCAACTGAGGTAGTCTCCCCTCTATTGCCCAAACCGAAAACTCCCAGTTTTGTCATCACATTGCAAGAAAAAAAAAAAAAAAAAATCAAATGGTTCAGGAGCTATACTGACGTAGCAAAGAAAGAAAAAAAACTCGGCATTCTCTCGCTCTCTTTTTTTTTTTAAATTCTCACACAATGTCTTGAACTCCATCCTCAAAGTGGCTTTTCTCATTTTCTCAGGGTTGGCCGATGTCCAGTGGCTCTGCCGGCCAACCAACCCCATGAGGAAATCCACCGAAATAAACATTTGGTGCCTTGTTCGTTTGATGCAGTATCATACGTCTTGGTGAACTTGGTGTCATATAAAGCAGAATTTGAAATTTCAGTCAGTTCCTGTTGCTGCAGCCCGTCTGAATGCAGTTGATAAGGGAGGGCCTTTATCGGCCCTGTGTGTGTGTGTGTGTAAGAGGATTTCAATGGCTAAATGTGTCAAAATGCATTCATTTGTGGATGTTGCTTGACAAGGATTTTAGGTGTGTGTGTGTGTGTGTGTGTGTGGAAGGGCACAGGCGTCTCCAGCTCAGTCAGGACTGCATCAGACAGCTGCAGGTCATGTTCCCCCTGCGAGTCTTACTGTACCACTGGTGGTAGGCTTGGAGGGGGGAGGGGGAGATGGCTTTTATTTGTCCCCCAGGATGGCGTACTGATTATCTAACTGTAACTGCTGCATGGACCCCTGGCCTTCCCCTTCTCGGACCCGGCTCTTGTGCTTGACCACCTCAAAAGTCTTCTCCATCTCTCGGTCCCTACGACAAGCAAACAGTTTCTCTCAGCATCGTTATGCATAATCAGTTAGGTTCAGTTTTTTTTTTTTTTTTAAATTTACCATGAATCAACTGTCCAACACAATCCTCAACAACTGTCACCCAACGATTCTATCTTGTCGAGCGTTTTGTGTGAGGAAACGAACAGTATTTATTTTGTTTTTACCTCGTTACCACAGCCACGTCCAAGTGATCTGAGGGCGCTTCGGTCTATGCAAGCGCCTGAAGTGATCTAAATAAGGTTGTGAAAAAAAATTCAACGTTTTCTCTGTTGATATATCGAAATCGCCTTCCATTGCAATTTCATGTATATCTAAATAGGTTTAGATGTTCACAGTAAAAGGTAACACTTCTGAAATCTCTGTGTAAATGATGAGTGACGTACACGCATGAGAGATCACTTCCGGCGCATGCGCAGACCGAAGCGCCCGCATCCTCAGATCACTTTGTCGTGGCTGTGGTTACACGAGGTAAAAACGATATAAATACAGTTAGTTTTTTCACACAACCCGCTCGTTTTGTGTCTTAGGCCATCAATGTGTACTTACATTTACGAGTCATTAAATCATGTTTAATTTGGACTTCTCTGTGCATGCTCTTTGAGGTGGACCCCATAAACCTCCATTATATGACTGACAGACAAGAACGGTTTGACCTAAAAATATCAAAATTGAAAATACTGCAGAAACAAAGACACCTACATCTTAGATGCCCTTGAGGTAAGCTAAAACATATCAAAAAATTATTTCAAAGTGAACTATCCTTATAAGATTTGCCAGGGACCAGATGATTTGTTTTTTATTATGCCCTGATACATAAAACCATAGAATTTAAAAGGGTGTACTTTCTTTTTCACGTGATTAGGGGTGTAACGGTACACAAAAAACACGGTTTGGTACGTACCTCGGTTTTAAAGTCAAGTACGTTTTTGATACAGCAGAAAGAAAGAAATGCCAGAGAAATTTCCCATTTGTTAAAAGAAAAAAAAATATGTTTAAATACATTTTCCTACATCTTGAAACTTTCAGGTTTATAAACGGGGGTCATCTTTCAAGGATTAACAAATTATGCTTTGGTCATCACATTAAAAATAACATTTAAATATATATTTATTTATATAATATTTGAGTTTTAAAGTGCTGGAAAAAGATGTGTGAAGATTTGAAGTGCTGGCATTTCACTATTCCAGCCAAACTGGTTCCAGTTAGTGTTACTATATTAAATCCATGGTGAATGTTGCTGGTCTGTGGACGTAAAAGTATTACTAGTTCAATCACGGCACAATGTTTCTCCCAGTTTCCACGTCAGCGCTGTTTGATTTAACCCTTTAAGACCGACAAAGGCGTCGGCGCTCCGGTTTGCGTGTGTCTGTTTAACAGCCTATGGAAACTGAAACCAAGTGGCTAGCTCAATCATTCTTTTTGCATACAAAACCAGAGATGTAAAATGGTCAGATCAAGCCTCCAACATGCGCATGTTGTGTTGTTTTCACCCTCTAATGAGTCTGTACAAAATGCACAAAATGCGTTTCTCAAAAAAATAATCACAAAAATGCATTGCGCGTCTTTGCACACATGATCTCTAGATCTGTGATTGATAGTAACGCCTTCCGATGGCACATTGAGGTATCACGTTCGGTGCACTATGGCAGATCAAGCGTCAACATGCTCATGTTGCGCGGTTTCCACCCTCTAATGAGTCTGTAATAATGCGTTTCCAAAAAAAAAAAAAACACACAAAAATGCATTGCACGTCTTTGCACACATGTTCTGTAGATCTGCAATTGATAGTAACGTCTTCCGATGACGGATCCATGGACGGATCACGACATCACTTCCTGTGCACTATGACCCCAGCTTGTGTCGCATGTAGTGACGTCAGAAGCTGCGTCTTTTGGCCATGCGTTTGACTCATAATAGGTTTGACTCGCATTTGACTCCCATCTGCTATATGTTCCTTCTTATCATTATTGTCTTTTTACCATTGCTTCATTCTATCATTTCTTTCTTGTTTATACACTCGCAAATACAAGCACATTCACACACACACATGCGTGCAACGTTATGTCAAAATGAAAGTACACGGCCGCACCGAGTCCTGTCTGCTCATCGCCTTTATTTATTTATTTTATATTTATTTTATTATTAATTGTTCTGACAGGGTCTATTTAATTTATATTCTAACCAATTCAATGTTCAATCAATATTCAAAAGCAAAATGTTATCTGTTTGACCACAAATGGAATTGAATATTTTACATATGGCATTGTACTCCCTTTTTTTGAATGAGTGCATCTTAAAAACTAATTGATGTAAACAGTTCAAAATCAATTCTGTATAGTTTTAAACTGTTTTATGCACATTTTTCTCATTGACAAGTTTGAGGTTGACATTTATCATTTTTTTGTATTGAATAAAATATGTAGAATTTTTGGTAACACTTTACAATAAGGTTAGTTAACATTAGTTAACTACATTAGTTGGCATGAACTAATAATGAACAGCACTTATACGGCATTTATTAATCTTTGTAAACGTTAATTTCAATATTTACTAATACTTTATTAAAATCTTGATAACATTAGTTAATGTGCTGTGAACTAACATGAACAAACAATGAACAGCTTTATTCTTATAAACTAACATCAACGAAGATTAACAAATACCATAACAAATGTATTGCTCATGGTTAGTTCATGTTAGTTAATACTTTAACTAATGTTAACTAATGAACCTTATTGTAAAGTGTTACCGAATTTAAAAATAAAAAAAATTGTTTTTCTTTTTGTTTATTGCACTTTTGAGATATTTATCTAGGTACTATTGATTTATTACAAACATAGCCTTCAAGTAGAGAAAGTAAGGATTATTTTGATGTATGGCATATGAAAATGCCCAAAAGAAAGACAGCACAGCATGTAAAAATAGAAAGATATACTCTGGTGGAACTGTTCTATGGCAGGTCATAAAGGGTTAATAGAGATCTATGGTTAATAACAGAGAAATGTAAATGCTTCTCACTAGATCTCGCAGTGATGTTATTACTTCAGTGGCGAATTCAAATGGTTTTTTTTACTGGATCTCTTAGCGCTGTGTAGCAACAGTATCGCTTGATCGAGATCAGCTCGCGCTCCACAGATGTTGCTGGTCCGACCTGATAAACGATCCGTGAAGCACATAATAATTGTGTAGCGCAGTTTCGTTCCGCTTTACGCTTGCCATTTGATGTTGCGCACCGTTGTGGTGGCCGCGCCAGCACGAATTCTGTCGGCAGGAAAAACGGTCCAAGGAATCGTTCGTTTGCATGCGTACCGCACCGGAAGCCTCGAACCGAAACGGTTCAATACCAATACTTGTACCGTTACACCCCTACGTGCCTCAACATTTCTATTTTTACTTCATCCAATATTTATATTTAGGATTTATTGAAATTAACAAGTTAATTTTAGTTAACAAAATTACGACACTGTTTTGTGATTATTCCACGCACAGAGAAGATTCACACACTGTACAGTACACACACTGCAGAAAAAGTATGAGTATGCCACCCCTAACAAGCTCAGTGACTGCTTACTTGCGAGTCTCGACGTGTCTGGCGGTGGAGAGGAGAGAGGGGAACTGGGCGTCGTTGAAGATCTCTGGAGGCCCTTGAGTTGGGCCTCTTTTAGTAGTGGTTAGCCGGGCCCCTGGGGGACGATACACGCCAGGTGCCTTGGGCTCAGGAACCTCAACTTCCTCGACTAACAGAAATAGACACATTATTAAGAACTGATCTCAACTTAAACTATTAGTTAGCCATTTCTACTAATGCTTCAGACTCACCCGGAGCAGCTGACGGGGGGGCGCCGGATTTATTCCAGGGTCCAGAGACTTTGTCACCACTGACCAGGATGATCTCACCATCTTCGCCCACTTCCTCCTTCTCATACTCTTCCTCCTCCTTCTCATCACTGTCAAACATAAACATGTGAACTACAACAGAGATGCACTCATGTTTAAATTCATTTAGTGCTTTGAGACATTTGTGTTAGCTGGAAACCAAGGTCAAAGTGTAGTTGCTGAAATGCGCTTTCTGAAATTGCTAGCAGAAAAAATTAAAACATCAGGGCGACCATAGAAATTCATAGTCGTGTTAAATAAAACTACTGAGAATATTTTGAATAAGAAATGGTCATGCAAACAGCATCAAATGTGTGATAATCATCAGTAGGATGAAATGCATTATTTAAGTCAACCATTTTCTCTTCACACCTCATCTGCAGGGCCTGGAGTCTGAGTCCAGTGTAGTCCACCTCCTTCTGCTCAAATTCCTTCCATTCCTCATCCTCCTGGGAAGATAGAGAAAGAGACATGAAACTTACGTTGCAAAACTACTTTATAGACCATTTTGCGAGATGTAAACAACACTGGTCCAGAAACACTTCCTGTTTCAGTTTGTAACTGTTTTCTTTATTCCACATGTAAAGAAACCATCTTAAAGATGTTTGTTTAACTTTTTGATTTAGTTTTATATCTTTTGTTGGTTGTATTTTATCCCAGCTTTTATGTAGTGTTAAAAAACTGAAACAGGAAGTGCTTCTGGACCAGTGTTGTTTACATCTTGCAAAATGGTCTATTGAAGTCTATGTAACCAAGTTTGTGGTTAGTTACCAGCACAATAATACATTTTTTTGGAGAAAAGAGGGACTTAGGAGCTATTTAACTGACACCGTTTCCAAAAAAATGTAAAACTTTATGCGTTTTGCCCATTTATTTACACAACAATAGCATTTTGGGGGCCTGAAACAAGTTTCAAAGTGCAGGTTTTTGAAAATACCAGTATACCATCTCATGAATTTGTAAAAACTGTAAAGTCATTCACAAGTGTATTACATATTCAGTCTATAGGCTCAGTGTTTCTTTACAAAGTAACATCGCCAACTACTGGCCTGGCAGCAGAATACAGTGTTTTTAGTAGTTTTTTTGCGCATCCGTGTAAACGGAGATCGTTTTGACAATGTTGTCATCAGTATGTAAAAAAAAAGCAAAGTACATCATTGTTGTGTAAACATACCCTTAATTGTAAATGTAAATCAAATATATTCTCAACAACCACACAGGAGGAATTAAACAAACCTAAGTTCTAACCCTAATGAGAAAAAAAAAACTGCCTAAGAATTAAAGGAGAACTCCGGCGAACAATGAACCTTTGGTCTAATAAAACATTGGTACCTAGTCAATCGTTCTCTGAGTTTTGTTTTCATGATAATCGAATGTAAAGAGTTTTATCTCTAAAAACTGTTTAGCGTATAATGCTAGTAATTGTGGCATTGACTAAGTAAAAAGAAATCATTAGTTTATACCACTAACAAGGCTCAAAATAGCCCCACACTAACGCAGAAAAATAATGAGCCTCCATACATGCAAAACGAAGCATTGAGAAGTGTACAGACCGTTTAATAAGATACTTTATGAAGACAGTTCACTTCGCGTATAGACAGGAGCCATCTTAAAAAATAGTCTCGATAAGTCGATCCCAGAATGCCGTTCATACAGTTCAGAAGTTCGCTGAACTTCATACAGTTCAGATCACTCAGCACGACGGTCGTGGTTTGACTTATCGAGACTATTCCGAGACTAGCTTCTGTGTCGAGCGCTCGCAATGCGGATCATATCGTTCATATACAGACCGGAGCAAGCGCGTTTCAAGTGAAGTTATAGACATAATTAGTATATTTATATAGACATTTCTCTGGTTTTTGGCAGTTTGTTTTATAGATTTAGATGTTTAACCCTTAACTCTTTTTTTCTCTCTCTCTGAGGTCATATTTTAATATTCATGAGAGTGTTGCAGGTCTGTGTTTTATTGGTTGTTTTCTCCCGTATTTCCACCCTCTACTAGACTCCCACTTTTCCACAGCTTCACACACCCATTTTTTGAAATTTTTTCAACTCCGAGGTGAACCGACCAAGCTAAAACATAAAGGATTGTCATGAGTCATGACACTTTTAAATCGACCTCCAAGTTACAACGCAATCATTCAAAATAGAGCTTTGAAGTGCTGGAAAAAGCTGTTGTGAACTTTTAAAAATACATGTTTGGCCATTAAAGCTGCAGTCCGTAGCTTTTTTGGGGTTAAAAATTATCCAAAATACATATTTGAGAAAATACATAACCAGCCAGTGTTCAAAACTGTCCGCTTGCCTTAGCTCGATTCAAAGCGGTAAGCTTGTAATAATGTTTTTTAATTACAGTGATACTGGTGGATTTCCGTGGGAGATTCGAGCATGTCTTTGCGTCATTACGTCACATTGTGCTTTTGTCACACTGTAAACTCTTGACAAACTGTAACCTACAACTGTCACCCAACCAAAATCACACACACACACACACACACACACTGTTTTAAAAGCAAAACATAATTATCCAACTCCATTTAAAAAAAACAAACTTTTTGGTTCCCTCTCATTGGACATTCGTCATATTCCTCAGAGCATTAATCTTACACCTTCTGCATTGATTAAAAAAAAGAAAATCGAATGTGTTTTTAATGGTAGTATTATTTTATACAGAAATCAATTAATTATAATTCAGATGAGAATAATGTTACATTGTTAACTAATAATGTTAATTAAAATTAAGGGAAACAAATATATTGATCTGAAACATAGCAAAATAATTTTAAATGAATTCAGGAACAATTACCAAACATATCGCACGGTCTTTTTATTCATTTAATTAATAAACTAATTATATAAAACTATTGTCAGTGCACTACAAATTAACTGGTTCTATGCCTTTATTAATAAAACGTATTTAAAAAATACAATGCCTGTATTTTTGTTTTGCTTTTCCCTCCATTGTAAAGAAATCGTACCGAACCGTGAGGTCTGAACCGGCCGTGATTTCTGTGCACCGTTCCACCCCTAATATATATAAATACACACACATGTATATATTTAAGAAAATTTTCATGCATATACTGTATATACATATAAACATTTTATATATAAATATTTTTTTTCTTAAATATACATGTGTGTGTGTATTTATACATATAAAATAATTATACACAGTCCACCCACATATATTATGTAAACACAAACTTTTATTTTGGATGCGATTAATCGCGATTAATCGTTTGACAGCCCTAATTTAAAGCTGACGGAAGTTGCTATAGTGCTTCCTTCTCTGATGTATATCTAAATAAAATGGCATAAACAATAAAACAAAAGTAAGGGTGGGGCTTTGTCCATCAGGAATTGGTTGGAAAGTTGGATCATTTGCAATTGCTGCAATTAACCGGTAGAGATTTTGGATTATCGTCTCTATCGTGGTGGTTATGCTCACGTAAAGCTGCTGTGCTACAGGGTCACAAAAGCATATCGTTTTTCATGATATAAGTTTTCGGTTCATTTGTATTTTTATGGCGACTTTAAACAGACGAAACAATTGGATAAGAGTAAGACCTGTATATGACACCAGTCTGTCATTTTCACAGAAAGGTCCAGCTTTGATTTACTAAACACTAAGAGGTCAACAAATCCGAAAGATTAACCATGCATACATTGATCACATAATATCTATGTCATGCATTTAGAAAATAGATAGAGTGAATTTCCATTTCACTGACTTCAGACACAATTATGACGTGGTACTACTAGTATGTCTCGAAATCTGCCTTGTGTTACACATTCAAAACTAGGCTATATGTTTTCTTCTCAAAAGAGAACGTACTTTTAGGGCACAGTGGGCAAATTGGAATGCAGCACAAATGGCTTACAATATTTCTCGATGTGCATCACAATATTGAAAAGCGTAGGATTTAATTAAAGCGATCTGATGTCTTTGTAAAAGTACAATCATACAACAGCATCGCTCATTACCACGTAGCTATTCTGCAATGACATGAGAATCGAGCATATGGTGGGGTTAAAAGACAGTTACAGGATCAGATAAGACCCCTGCAAGACTTACAGAGGATTGATTCCCCATGGAACAGTATGATGTCATATCACCCAACATACGTCACTTCAGACACGACTTCAACTTAAGACAAAATTAAAGGCATGGTTCACCCAAAAATACCATTTACACACCCTCCTGTTGCTCCATTTCCATTTGAAATGTTAGTGACTAGAACTGTTATTCGGTCTATTGACTTTAATTGTAAGATTATTTTTTTTAACGCAAGTAAATGAGTGACACTGTCAATATTTTACTGTTCTGCTAAAAACCTCATTTTGATATTTTCGTATTTTATTTTTTAAGAGGAAAAGTCGTGGAGGGGGAGTCAATGACGACCGAAATGTATTAACCAAAGTTAATTGTAAAATTTAAGCAGTCTAACAGCTTTGCGAATCACAAACACATGCTGGCTACAACACAGCGTCACATTAACTTTCTCTTATACACAAATTAAACATATAACCTTTTGTTAGTGTCATTTAGCGGTCACAAAGCGCTTAGCCCACATTGCTCAACGTTTCAAGCGCATTTTGAATGTTCGCTGGCCTAGGCAAGGCAGCTCACGGGTTTGTGACGCAGCCGGTGTGTTTTTTGACTCTGCATTACCTTCTCCATCTGCGCGTCCTGATTCTCACTCTTCGTCGACTTCTCCTTCTCCCTTTTCGTCTTTTTCAACACCATTACGGCTCCTCCGGTTGCCTGCTCCTTTCCCTTGACCTTCTCCTTCTTTTTCTTCTTGTCGCGCTTTGCGAAGAAGTCATCCAGACTCTTCTCCACGCCGGCCGGAGCCACATCCGCCATCTTATCCCCAAATTTCCTTCCCTTGACACTAAACAAGCTCAGAAATGATCAGATCAGCGTCTGAAACGACAGCAAAAGAGCCTTTGCGTGTGTGCCTGCCCGATAATCCGTGTTTCATGTGAATCCGCAGGTTAACGGTGTGCTGAGAGCAACCTAGCACTCACCAGCTGAAAGTGTGACACACACTCGCCCAATGCACCGGATAGGGTTGCTTCCGATCTGACCCGGATGGGAAAGCAGATTTGTGTTTGACAGTTGTGCTATCCAATCGCTGAGCACTATGTTAGTTTTCGACCAATCACATCGCAGGGTGAAGATTCTGCACAGTGAGATTTTGTCAGATTGTGCAACTATTTTGTTTAGTAGTTATACAAGACCTGTTGAGTAATTTTGTAAACAAAAACAACTGAAAGAAAACATTTATACTGATACATTTACATATGTAGTGCCGTTTTATACTGAATAAAAAAACACGTTTGCATAAAAGAGGAACACAGAAATTACTCAACTTTTCTCAATATTACTCAACCCAACTTTTATTTTTAGATCATGTTTAAAAACAACAGGAGTTGACCCAAAGTGCTTTACAATACACATAATATACTCTTTGTAATAGCTGATTAACCACAAAATCTGCCTATATATTAAAATGTAGTCAAAACAAAAGGTAAAGCATAAAAAATGTTCCCAAACTTTTTTAAAGTGGGGGCATTAAACATCCTTCAGCGTACCTCGCTCTTTAACTGACTGCAGTCACATCTTTTCCATTAAAAAATGTTTATCCATTAATAACATTTTTCATGTTTTATGTCAAATTCTTAAAATTCCATTAAATTATTGATGTTATGAATAAAGTAATACATTCAATCAACTATTTGAACCAAATGAAACAAAAGATGTATTTCCACACTGTTTAATGCTGCTCAGAGGTGTCAAGATTGCAATTACAAAGGCATAAACAGTGTTATGAGATAATGTTTTGAATAAAAATTAAAGGATGGTAAATATATTTTAAAATATTAAATTAAATCGTCAGTTGGTGGCGACAAGTCACTGTCTTAATGATTGAATCATTGATTGATTGACTGAACGATTCATTCATTCAAAAGCAAAGCAAGTGAAGTGTATTTATGAATAGATCATTTAATTATTGACTCTCCTGATTAATTCAAAGCCATAGATTCGTTTAATAATGAAACATGTTGTTGCCTGGAGACGGACAACAGTTCAAGTCAAGCCACCTTAATTAATTTATTAGCTTTACAGTGATAACAGGAAAATTATGCATATCGGCTGCTTTTCAGCTCAAGTCAGTTCAGTGTTTATTCAGTTCTGTTGTAAATAAAAAAACATCAATTATTAAATCTTAAAATCCATAAACATTTAAGCTCAGTTCAGTTCTCACACCACAGCATCAGTACTGTCAGATCAATAATATTGTTGCGAGGCTGCTCTCCTGCTGGCACTGGCATCTGTCAAGTGAGTTGGAGATTTGGAGATTTGGAGGTGCTCTTGGTGAGCCCCTCTTGTTTGGAGTTTGGTGTTGGTGACTTGAAGGTTGTTCTCAAACCCAGACATGGCTATGTGCCTAAAGTGCTTTCTACTTAGTTTATCACTTAATTGGCCCTTCCTCAGAGGATGGGAAGGCTAATCTACTCTGTCCTGTCAGAGCACTGAGATCTTTTAGACAATCAGAACAGCTCTTGTCTGCTTTGGTGGCTGGTCCAAGGGGTTGCGTCACAAAGCAGAGGACATCCAGATGTATAGTTGATGCTATTTCTCTGGTATACACCTCAGTGGGTCAGGTTTGCCCTAACTAGAGGCATGGCCTCTTCTTGGGCTTGGTCTTCTGGGGTTCCCATTCACGATATCTGTACGGCGGCTGGTTGGTCCTCGCCTTCTGTTTGTCAAATTCTATAATATGGAGGTTCCTTCCCTGCAGGCAAAGGTCCTTTCAGTGTGAAATGTCATAAGCGCACATTCATTCATTCTTTATAAAACCCGCCTCTGGCCGGTTATCATTCCCTTAATTTCTAAGACCCGACTGTGTCTGGTCTGGGGGCTGAAAGAAAATATGAATGTTTGAACATTACATTTTAGAAAGGTATATTATGAGGCCTGACGGTGTATACACTGGTTTCTGGCTGGCTCTGTAAGTTCTAGAGCTGCAGTTCAACCAGCTACTCAGTGCAGAATTTTGCATGGCGTCCCCACTGCGTATAGCTACGCAATCAGAAAGAACTCGGTTACTAACATAAATTTTGGTTCTCTGAGAGTAAGGGAATGAGTATTGCATAGCCAGCCGCACTGAGTAGCATGGCAATATGTCAAATGCCAAGCTTACATTAGCTATTCCCCACCAATTCACAAGCACAAGAGAAAAAGTATTTTGTACTTACATTTAATACCCCTGGAACTCAATGGAAGTTGATTGAAGAGGCATAGTTGGTAGTGTTGTTATAACTAGTCAACTGAACCAACAATCTTTTCACAAAACTGACCAAACCTTGTCAGACTGTCAAAATCCATCAACATTGCGTGCATGAGCTACGTTCTGACAATCTAACGGAAAGTGGGTGAATATAAAAATACATGATAAAAACATTTTGTTAAACCACTTACAAGTGTTATATGTTGACAACACTATTACTTTTTATTACAACTTTACATGAACAAATAGGCCAACTGTCAACAAATGGAATGCATAGGATTGTGGGTTATGCAGCCTTAGTTTCTACAGCAGTAAAAGTGGAAACTTTAGGATATTTTAATGCAAAAGTCTTGGTACAGTACAGTACTTACAGTATACTTACAGTGTACTTATCTAGAAAGTACTGGCTAATATAAGATAAGTACATGGAACAGGGGTAGGTTCAGGGTTAGTACTAGTTATTACCCAGTATTTGTAGTTACTAGTTTAAGCATCCCTCTTGAACTGGATTTTATTTTAAAAGGGATTTGTAAAAGGGATACAAACATCTGTCGCCTTTTGAGAGACGATGAATGAATGGGTGAACGTCCCAGTAGTAACGCACAACAGCTTGTGAATAGAAAAGCTTCATTCAGCATATAGTGTGAACAGGGAAAATTCCAGAAACCATGTAACCCATTTAAATCAGGGGGAAAAGAAAACATTGGCATTTGTGCTCTACTTTGCTTTTTTAACATATTTTGCATTAAATATTGACACTTTTAACAGATACAAAACCCCAAGATAGATAAAAAAAAATGAACTACAGGCCGAGTAAGCTTCAAAAGCCTTTTTATTTGTATCGCTCAGCAGTAAAAAGTACAGTTTATGTGCTACAAAAAATTAGACATGATTCATATGTGAAAGCAGTTTTTTTCTTGTCAGCAGAGCAATTATCGCTCCTTCTGCTTACATATTTAAAACTCATGCCAGCAAGGACGGAAACAATGAAAAAACAAATACATTTAAACTATATATATATATATATATATATATATATATATATCTGCTAAGCATACAGCAAAAAAAAATAAAAATAGATATGTATTGAGAAAAGATGATAATATGGTCTTAAAACATGTTACCAACATTAGTGCCACATGTTCAAAGAAAGTACAAAATAAAATAGTTTCTCTGTATGTCTTTATATCTAACAACTACACATCCAGTGACATCATTGACATTCATCTAAAAAAAAAAAAAAACCTGTACAATAGAGCAGTAAGCACTGAGAATCAAAGAGAAATATAAGGAATTAATTTTGGTCTCATTTATTCTTGTCAATGTTCACACAAGGGACAGACATAAACAGAACAAACACACTCATTCACCCTTCACTAAAAAAAAGTGTCTTCTAACTATATATATATATATATATATATAGTGCCAACCTGTAAAGCAATAGTAGTGCCAAAAAATGCATTTCCACCAAGTTATACAGTATAATGCTTAGCCCTGCTAAGTTGAACACAAACACATACAATATGAACAGATATGATGTGAAATGTGGAGCACAGTAATATTACCATACAACGGCCTTTGTATGAGACATTTTTTTTGCATTAAATATTTTTTTCTACTTGCTTGTGCAACTGTCGACGTGAATTTTAGGGTGTTAGGGTGTAACGAAACCTTGATAGAAACAAAATCTTGTTTCATATAGTCTAAAGACACATACACCTCAGATGCATGCAACAAGACATATACACTCATGAAAACATCTCCGACATCTAAGGAATGGGACAATTGGCTGGTGACTCATCTGGGGACAAACATCTCAGAAAGTCATGATTCGTCATCAATCAAATGCAAACAGGCAATCAACTCAAGTTTCTCCATTTTGGAAGTGAGGGTTGCTGTAGTACCCATTGGACCCATCCCAGAACCGTTCCAGAATCAATGCCCTTGCATCCCCTTACATACGTAATTCAAGTGCGGCAGGCTTTTTTTTTAAGTAATCATATTAAGTATTTTGGGTAACGTCACACAAGCATCCTTACACCACGCGCCATGTTTCTCAGCACTCTGCACAACCAAAGCCACTGGAACATATGAGCAACAACACTTACTGTTATTATTGAAAAAAGACATAAAAACCCTTATCACAATGAAGCATTGGTAGAAAATCCACATCAGAAAAATATGCAAGGGCTCCCCCTCATAGTAAATAACATTTGTTCATTTTTGTAATATTCTTTCAGCTCCTTGAAACCAGTTTCATATATAAACCGCAGTCTTTGAAGGTCCACCACATATATGTGTATATATATATATATATTTATATTTATTTATATATATTCTTAAAAAATGCAAGCAAAGAAAAGAGACTGGAAAATCCTCAGGGATTTTGTCTCCTTTTAATATAATATGTTTAGATGTCAGAGGCCTTGTCTCTGTTGATAAAGAGAGTCTCTTGGCAAAAGGGGTTAACCAGAACCACGCCGCTGTCGCTGTAGTCACCATTAGGGGGCAGACACGTCTCCTGATCCTGAACACACAAAAAACAACATTAGCACTTGCTTTCAGGCTAACTAAAAAGCTAATCACTCAAAAGCAGCTGCTACAAAGCTAAATGCAGTTAAGGTGAAAGGAACAGGTATTCTATGTTCTTCTTATAGACACAAATGTGCTATGGTGTAGTGATTGAGCTCTATTGCCATGGAGACGCCGTCTGTGACATAAATGGGAGGAAATGAAGGAAGAAGCAGGTTAAATTGCACCTGTGGGGAAAGACAACTTATTATGAGGCTCTAGACTAGATTTTAATACGATGTTTTGTCATTCATTCATATTTGGTCACACATATTGGGATTTCTAATTCATACATCAAAATAAATACATCCATTGATTTAACTATTCTCAAATCTATCTATCTATCTATCTATCTATCTATCTATCTATCTATCTATCTATCTATCTATCTATCTATATATATATATATATATATATATATATATATACTGAGGGACTACGAAAAATTGTCAATGGCATAAGATACAATAGTCAACTAAAAAACACTGAGGACAAAGGAATAAAGGAAGGGAGTGGATGTCTCTGTTGGTTCTCAAAGAGAGATAAAGGAAGATATGAACACCTGGTCACCGGCATCCAAAACATGATTCATCATCATCATCATCCCCATCATCATCATCACACTCCTGTCAGAAAATGCCAGCAAGCAGGAAGGAAAAGGTGGAAAACAAGAAGCATGGAGAGGTTGAAATGGAAAATGTCAATGAAGGGATTATGGTAACAATCTGGCAAAAGGTTCAGGGGGAAAAAACAACTATAAACTAGTGCATTTTATATATAGAACTTATACACTGGACACCAGGTGGCGATATGTAACGTGAACGGGAAATCATGTTAAAACACTCTCAGTTACCATTAAGTGAGTTTTCAAGCACACATTGTCTTGATTGCAATGATTACTGTTCATTTCATAATGATATGATATGCCAATGATATGCCAGCAAAAAAAAAAAAAATAATTTTAATCTAATTAATTACATGAATTGCATTCAATTAATCGTACATAAAATTTGGCTGAGAAATTACCCCCGAAATAAACTGCGCAGTGCTTCTGTGTTGTACGTCACATGTAGGCTCACTATTGGCCAACGCTGGTCATGTGTGTGATGAGTGTGACCTACAACCTAGAAGCGCTGCCCAGTTTCACAACGTTATCTCGAGGCCCACAGAGAAAGAAATTAATAGTTGAATAAAGTCTTTAATTTTGTTCGTTTTTTGCACACAAAAAGTATTCTCATCGTTTGATCAATTTAAGATTGAGCCACTGTAGTCACTTGGACTATTTTAACGATGTCTTTAATAACTTTTGGGCCGGCAACTTTCGATCCCTTAGAGAAGCCTATGGAGGAGTTATCCAGTGATCCTTAATTTGTGTTCTGAAGATGAACAAAAGACTTACGGGGTTGGAACAACATGAGGTTGAGTAATTACTAACAGAATTTTAACTATCCCTTTAATGAGTGAGTCTTTGAGCCATTTATTCAAATGATTTGTTCAAAAGGCTGATTCGTTCAGAAATGAAAATGCGGTTGAGTGTTCCTTTGAGAAGCGTTCTGGTACTGTTATGATCTTTATTTGGAAATATTTTCACAAAAAAATTTAATATTGTGTCTAAAATGTAAGTGACTTCATATAAATTACTTGTTTATTGAACTTGTCATATGAAATCAGTCACATTTTCAATCGTGATGGATGGTATTCAGTAAGCAAGCACAAGCCTTTTTTACCGTCAGACAGTCAGCGGCTGTTTGCGGATTAGTTGGCATTAGTTGGATTTTTTTAACAATGATAATTAAAGCATTTAATTAAATTTTAAATGAACAAATATGCAATAGCCAGAGTTGAGAAAAACATTTTTATTAAGACGTTGTTTATTAAAGGGGCACTTGGCAACTATTTCAACTTAATAAAACCATTTAGAATGGTCCATTTGAATGGTTCAATAACCTGTTCTGGAGAGAATGGTGGCTTTCCACACTTTTCCTAGCGTCCCTAGGCGGGAAACCAACCTTGAAACATGAGGACTAACGTCCCAGTATGTCTCGTGAGAAGCAAGAACGAGCGAGAAACACAAACAGCTTTGTGGCAATTCGACATAATTCTATCATATTGTGGTGTATGATTTATTACCCACTCGGTAGATACAGCTCCACGCGATAGAGTTGGCCGGCTCCAATAATAACAGAAGCACATGAGCAGCGGTAGAAAGGGGGAGGAAGGCGCCGCAAGTGAGTGTTTTTATGACAGTGTTGTGAAATATAGCTATGCTGCACAGCTGTAGGGGGCGCTGATGAGAACACATGCCAAAACAAAAGTGGAAATGAGTGAAGATAAAACTAGAGTTGCCAAGTGCCCCCTTAAGAAAATTAATTCGGCATCTTATTTTAGGTGTGCCAGCAGCCACTGTGGGTGGCAATAGCACACCCTGGCACACCCGTGGCTACGTCAATGGTACATCACAAAACGGAAGAAAAGATGTGTTGCTACTTCCGTTACATCACAGCTATAAACACAAAAAGCAGTGGCAGTCAGTACCTCAGTCTCTAGTGATTGTATCTCGCGTGGGAGCTCCACAGCATGGCGGGTGAAGTAATCCATGGTGATGGCGTCATTCCAGTAGCTCAAGTTGTTCTCCTGAGAAGATGACTTCTTCTTTTTCCTCATACAGCATATGGTAAGTAGCACGGCTGAAGAGAAGAAGATTAAAATTCAACATCTAGCTCTATTAGCTTTAAGACCACTTTTGAATTTGGTATGATGCGTTTCAGAAAAGTTGTACGCAAAATATACCAAGCCACAAAGGGAATATTATGTTATGCTGCTTCTGTGGAAAATTCCTGTCAAAAATGATGACAGAAAGCACAAATGTTCAAAGCTGGGTGAAGTGTGATATTGGTTACTCACAGCATGAGGAGACAGGCACGCTAATGGCAAGAACCAACCACACAATGTCCATTTTGTTCAGGCAGATGGTGAACTTTTTGTGATTAGGACCTAACGCAGGGCCCGACTGGTTTCCAGACCCCCATGGGCCTTGTGTGGTGGCTGGGACCTGCCTGTTCATGAAGCTCCCGCTAGCGGTGGAGGGTGCTTCTGATGTGTCCGGATCATTCGCTGCAGGCCATGAGGCTCCAGTGCTGTTGATGACGTCTGTGACATTAGTCAGGGAGACAAGGGAATCAATGGTCATGTTGGTGGTTCCATTACTACCACCTTGGACTTCCGCAGAGCTTCCACTCTCTCCTGAAGAATTATTGGATGTGGTAGAAGGTGGGGCTAGAGCTGGAGAAGGAGACTGGATGTCAGTTTGTGCTAAAGTCTCTCCCAACGTTTCCAAAGGGAGAGTGGGATTCTCTGTTGACGACACGTCACGCAATGTAATGGTGTGATGTGGAGCCGACTTGTCCTCATTCTGCCCTTTGTGGGTTTTTAAGGGTGAAATTAATGGTGATGACTGATGTTGTATAGGATCAATGGGGTCCTCTACTCCCATCTCTCCAGTATCTGGATTTTCTAAAAGGCCCTTTGCACTAGGGGTCACATCATTTTCAGTCCCTGAGAATAAAGAATGACCCAAGCCAGAATTTGTGGTTTGGTTTCCACTGTTCAATGCAGTAGCACTGATCTGATTCCTATAGACCAAACCTGAGGGCTCAAACCGGTTCACTGGCTTTCTACTGATTGTACTCGGCGTATCTGTATTAGTGCTAAAGTTCTGCTCTTGTGTTCTGGGGGCGAAAAACCCAGAGGTCGTTCTATTGAACATACTTCCAGAGGTCATTTGGGGGGCTTCTGCTTTTGAAAGAGGGTTACGAGGTGGCTCCTGATCCCTGGGATCAACTGGATGGACCCCTACTATTGATGTCTGAACTATGGCAGAAGGTACAATGGTCTTCGGTGTCTGGAATGGGTCGACAGTAGTGGGTCTACGGATGGCTTCTAGAGAGGCCAGTGCCTGGTTGTGCAGATCCCCAGTGCTGGAACCCTCCTGCCAGCTCAAGGACCCCGGTGAGAGCGTGGAGAGGGTTCTTGTCCTCGTTGACATGGAGATAAGGTCTCGAAGGGTTTGGCTGGGGTAAAGCTCTTCTGCAGAGAACACCAGCCCAACTGGCGCAAACAGAATCAGTAGAACACCTGAGAAAGGAAAACAGTGAGAGGAATTTAGACAAAAATCTTTTATGCAAATACCAAATCAAGTACTCACTGCACCAAGGAAACATTTAATTCAAGCTTTATTAGTCCACAATAAGGTTCTTACAGGGCCATTCAGAGATGAGTCAAGGAACACTTTTGAACAGTCTGAATGCTGGTATGGTTACTAAGTGTCTTGATGACATCAGCACAAATGGGCGGGACCCTGCTTTATGGTTCAAAATGGTGTTTTATGTCACCAATCCATACTTAAAAACATAGATAACACCTGATGATCAGAGTAAGGACATTGTTTCATCTGCATGCTATTTTAGTTGCTATAGAAACCAAGATTCAGCTCTTAGAAGATGGAAGGCAGTGAGAGATGAGAGAGCAACATCACAAACAATATCAAGAAGACATCTGAGTCTGAGTCAGTTCAAGACCAGCTACTGAACAATTGTCATTGTTGACGTCATTGTTGACCTGTAAGTGTTCAAAATGTGACATTCTTTTTAAGATATGTGCTTAATGCTATACACAAAGGTCCCTTCTAAGACTCTTTTTTTATTCAATAATGACAACAAAGCTTAATGACCCGACCAAAGCATGATGTAAAGGAAAATTACATCATGACACCACTGATTGGCTGATTGCAACACAAAAACAAACAGTCCCAAACACTTCACGAGTGACTATCATGAATAACAAACTTCATTGGAACAAACATACTCTGTTGCATCGATCAACAATAAGATAACAAGTTGATTGTGTAAAGGATTAGTGAATCAGGAGTTTCCTACCAATCACAATCTGCCCTTGCTGAACAAGCTGTGAAGAAAAGAGAAAAACAGACAGTTTTTCTTTCAAGTGCTAATGCTAATTCATAATTACCATATCAAACACAAGCATGCCCATGCTAGAAACCGACATGGCTATGATGACAACATGACCATGCTGATTTCAACGTTCACTAAAAACAGTACATCAGAATTGAAAGTATTTGCCATGTCCCTTTTTTTGGAATCAAAAGATATTACATCTCCCATTCAGCCATTCCAATCTAACACACCATTAATAAAACATCACCCTGTAAATAAAACATGAATCACTGCTTATTTCACAACAAAGTGGTGCGTTTAGATCAGGCACAAACTCTCAAGCTCGCTCCCCTCTGAACACATCCCAGAGCGTTTAACAAGCCGTGGATCTGAAGGTTCACACAGCCACTGAAATCATCTGATCATGAGCTCCCTGGTCCCATGTAAACACACCACTGTCCTATTAGCCAAGTCATGTTTTATAATTTATAATTAAAAAAATGTTAAAAGTTTGGAAATGGCTTTCAAGTCTGTTAGCATAAAAAAAAATCAGCGATTACTCAGTTTGGACTGAGTTTTTATCTTGGTATTTTGATGGCTTGTCTGTTCCCTCCCTCTGGGTTGTGTTCTGTTGATATGAATGATGTGTAATATCAAAGATTAGCAAATGAGAAAATCAGAAGCCAACAAACTCTGAGATCCCATCGTTAAAGACAAAATACAAGCATTCTAGCATGCTAATCTAGTCTGTACTAGCATGCTAATCTGCTGTACAGCCAAAACAATCTTATCACAGTGAAACAATCTGTATTGTAAAAAGTGCTATGAAGGTGACTTGACTTGTCTTGATTTAATCTTACTACATCTGCCATATGGAATACTATGCATAGTGTCACTGAACGCGTGGCTGTCACTGAGCCTTCAAATCTCTCCGGCCTCACACGCTCCCTTTCATCCCAGTTCAAGAACTGCACTTCCCATCATTCCCCCTTTATATCATTAGGATCCATTCCTGCCTGGTTTCTCCATTCCGTCTCATCGCTTCTAAATGTTTATCATCACCATTCCCATTATCTGGGCTGCTCAGTTCTTTGTTCATTGCCAAGTCTTGTTTTGCCAAGCTGCATGTTGCGACGTGTTCCTTTGACGTTTCATGTCAGTGATTCCTTGCAGATGTGTTGCAGATGGATTTGACTGCCTCAGCTCCGTCAATACAGAACACTTCGCCACCACAGGATCCAGCAGCCTTCCAGCGTCTTGCTTCCGAGGTTTCTTCCCAGGCATCTGTGTTAATCGCACACCAACAACAGCTGGTGAAGTTAACTAATCTCAAAGACGAGCTTGTGAAGTCCGTGCAAACCATCTCTCAGCAGAACGCGGCCGGTGCTCAAGCTTCCACAGCTCCTGCTCCCTTAACATCAAGCGTGAGTACGACTTCAAGCAACCCTAAATTATCTTTCCCTGAGAAGTTGAATGGCTCATCTGCTGCCTGTAGAGGATTTCTGTTGCAGTGCGACCTATTTAAGGAGGTAAGGAGCCAGGAGAGCTGCTCCTCGCATTAAGTCAAGGGAGTTCCACCGCGGCTGACTACACGCTTTCCTTCCGCACCCTGGCAGCACAGACGGGTTGGACGGAGGAACCACTTAAGTTGCTTTACCGAAGTGGTTTGGATATGAATCTGCAAGGGGAATTGACTTGTCATGAATGGAAGGACCCTCGGAGAGCTCGCCATTCGTCTCGACAATCTCATCCACTCTCGAAGCGCACCTTTCTCGCCCAGTCTCTTCGCTAATCCACCAGCCAGCATGGATTTCAGGCCCATGCTGGTCGGCTTCACACGTCTCACCACGTAGGAATGTGAGAGAAGAAGATGCGGAATAAATTGCGCCTGTACTCTGCTCAAGCTGGTCATCTAAGAGCTTCTTGTCCTGTGAGATCCAGATCCAGAAGTCCTTTTGTGGTGCGTTCTTTGATTAATCCTCCCAACTCTCCCAGTCTCAGTATTTGTGAAACAAGGGCTTTTATTGACTCTGGAGCCGCAGGGAATTTTGTCGATCTAGAGTTTGCTTTGTCTAATCATGTCTCTCTCATCCCTTTCTGAGTCCCGTGTGGCTGTGGCAGCCCTGGAGGGACGCCCCCTGGGGACAGGGGAGGTACAATACATCATGCAACCTCTTACTCTCAACTTTGGGTCTTGTCACACAGAGAGAATTCAGTTGTACACAATCAGCTCACCACTTCATCCTGTAATTCTGGGATTGCCTTGGCTTGAGAGACACAACCCTCTAATTTCCTGGGCTGAGAGGAGAATTACTCAATGGTCTCCATTCTGTCAGGTCCACTGCTTGCCTGGTCTCTGTGGTCCTGAATCAAGCCACAGTTCCTCCGAGAAGTTGAACATGCAAGGAGTTCCTGCGGTCTACCATGATCTTGCCCTGGCATTCAGCGAGAGAGAAGCTTCACTTCTACCCCTGCACCGGGCCAGCGATTGTGCTATTGACCTTCTACCTGGAGCCGTTCCCCCGCACGGCTGAGTGTCTCCACTGTCACAACCGGAAACTGAGGCTATGAATTCGTATATCGAGGAGCAGCTTGCTAAAGGTTTCATCACCACTTCCACATCTCCCGTCCACTGGGTTTTTCTTCATAAAGAAGAAGGATGGAGAGTCTTCGACCCTGCATCGATTTCCGAGGTCTCAATGAGGTAACCATGAAATATTGTTATCCCCTGCCTTTAGTCCCAGCAGCCCTGGATATGCTTCGCTCAGCCTGTTACTTCACCAAGCTGGATTTGAGAAACGTTTACAACACCATTCGCATGCGGAGGGGTGATGAGTGGAAGTCGGCCTTTTCTACAAGCACAGGGCACTATGAGTATCGGGTTATGCCGTTCGGGCTGTCCAATAGTCCTTCTGTGTTCCAGTGATTTGTTAATGAGATCTTTCGTGACATGCTGAATCAGAAGGTTATTGATGACAACTTGATTTTTTCAGAGACCCTCGAAACACATCCAGGGTGTGCGTGCATTCCTCAAACGCTTAGTTGAGAACCAGTTATATGCCAAGATTCAGAGTGCGAGTTTCATCAGAACCCGGATCGCCTTCCTAGGATATGGGGAGACTTCAGCGTTTACCCGGCTGAAAGAGAGGTTCACGTCTGCACCCATTCTCCATCATCCTAACCTAGAGGTGTTGGCACCGTGGAGGCACTGGAGTGGGTGTGATCCTGTCTCAACGCCACGGTAAGCCCTCTAAAATGTTTCCCTGTGCCTTTTTCTCCCGCAAGCAGAATGCAATTGAGCTTCTGGCCATGAAGCGGCCTTGGAGGAGTGGAGGCACTAGCTGGAGGGTACACGTCAGCCTTTCACCGTTCTCACTGACCACAGAAATCTTCAATATATCACATCCGCCAAGCGTTTGAATGCTTGTCAGGCTCGCTGGTCATTGTTCTTCTCCCGCTTCAATTTCAAGATCATGTACAGACCTGGGTCTAAGAATGGGAAGGCCGATGCTCTGTTTCGCCAGTTCGAGGAATTCAACGAAATCTCCAAGCCAGAACCCGTCCTTCCTTCTACTTTGATCGCGGCTCCTGTGCAGTGGGATATTCTCTCGGAGGTGACTGAGGCACAACAAGCTCTTCCGGTACCGCCTGAATGTCCATTGGGTCGCCTTTTCGTACCCCTCAAACTCCGTGATCGGGTGCTTCAATGGGTTCACTGCACACTCAGCGCTGGACACCCAAGTATTTCTGCTACAGTACAGCTAGTTTCCAACTGCTTGTGGTGGTCCACACTCTGGGCTGATGGGCTGGGCTGTTCCATCTGTAACTTTCAAATCTTCCCACCTTAAACCTGCCGGTGTCTTACAGCCACTTCCAGTGCCTCAACACCCATGGTCCCACATTGCCGCAGATTTTGTAACTGATTTGCCTCCGTCTCAGGAATTTTCAACTGTTCTGTCAGTTGTGGATCACTATTCTAAATCCTGTCATTTTATCCCCCCGAAGGATCTACCCACTGCCATGCAGACTGCGGAGGTACTTCTCATATACAGTACAGGATAATATATGAAAGGATACTATGCTTGAAGTGTCCAACATTCCACACTTTTCCCCGCATCAGATTTTTTGGTTAATTAAGTACATCATCCAGGTATTTTTCTTTTTGGAACTTTTAGCTTGAAC